AGCCAATTGGAGGGCACGGATAGATGAACAACCATTTACATTTTCAATCACACCTAAGGATAATTTAGAGTGTTCCATTAATCTCCCATGCAGGTTTTGGAATGTGGGAGGAAACCGGAGTACCCAGAAAAAACCCACGCAGGCACGGGGAAAACATGCAAACTCCACACAGGAACCTGGAATCAAACCCTGCACCTCTGCGCCGTGTAGCGGACGTGCTAACCAGTCGACCAACATACCAGCCCGGCCCTAATAGAGACATACGGTTCTGCATGGATACGGCAAAACTAAGCCCAGTTGATACGGCACTGCATTTTCCCCGATGAATAATGAAAATATGCCTGCGTGAGTATTTTACTAATGTCTGCCTACGTATTACTCCAAAATGTATGTTCTAACATCAGTTGCTCAAAGGGTTATAACACTTCATTTCTGGTGATAATCGGTAGCCATTCAATGCCATTTTACAGTGTGTGTTAGCAGTCGGTGTAAACCAAGAGACATTCAAAATAATGTGTAAGATTGAAATAAACAATGTACACTTTTTTTTCAGTTTTACAGCAAAGGACAGCTAATGGCGTTAAAAGGTTTGTTGAGATGTGGGTTGAGCTGAGTTCATTGCTATATTTCAAATTTCTGCTCACAGTCAAAACCAAGGAAAAAAAAAAGGCCAAATGAAGGCTTGAATTTCAAAACACTCGGAAATGGGGTCTCTCGTATTTCAAGGCACCACTGCACTCATTCTAATTCTTCAAGGGGAAGTTCAACAGTGAATGATCCATAATCAATAATAGTGACAGAAACTGAGGGGCCCAAAATCAAACCTTTCTTGTGACTCCACGGAGGCTTGGCTGGGCTCTGATACTATTGGTTGGTGGCAAGAGCATGAACGTAAATTCACTTGTCAGTCTGTGTGGGCTGATTTTGTGTCTCTGTCCAATGCCCTATGGTGCTGAAACTGTTCCTCGACCAGTGACACAAACGGAGTCATGTTGACAGATCTCCGAAGCCTCGTATTACATTAAAACAACAATAAAAACAACAACAACAACTGCATTACACCAACATGACATCACATGTCCCAAACAGATGATGCTGGTAGGCTGGCTTCAGCCTCAGTCGGCTGCACGTGATTCTGCGGCAGTGCCTGTGCACGGAAAGCAAGGTTGCTCAGATTATTATGGTGAAGTGGGCCCCGAGACACTGTTTACACAGGATGCATTTACTCATCTTGGCCCAAAATAATCCCGCCATTGCCAGCCTTGCACTCCTCGCACTAAACATAGTCCATTAATCTGTTTGATATGCTAAGGACTGATCACACACACCTCATTAGATATCAAGAGGGGCATAAAGTGCTGTAGACTTATGTGAGCAGCAGCAGGGGTTCATCACAGGTCGGCCCGAGGAGTGTTTCGTTTTAACCAAGCTCAGGTGCCGAGCACGGGGGCTGGCATACGAGCGGACGCGTGACTTTGATATTATTTAAATATATATTCCCCCTACTCACTCGTTGAGTCGTGCCCTTGGAAAGAGAAAGCAGACAGTGAAGCCCCAGTAACAAGACAGAGAGCAACACTTGTGGAACGGAAAACATCAAATTGTTGTATAGTCTCAACGGAGCTTCGACAGGAAAGGAAAGAACGCCGACCTGATGGCAAGCAGCTCGTGCAGGAGGTAGGCTGCGGCGGCCAGGAGGGCCCCCCCGGTGATGTAGAGGGTCTTCTTCCACCAGGAGTCCGAGCCCAGAGCCGTCATGATGCCACCGTAGTCCTGCAAAGGGAAGGCGATGATATATCCATACAAGGACTGCGGTTGCTCGGACACACACAGCCCCAGGGGGAGGCTGTGATTCCGCCCGAGATCCACCACGCACGGCCGGGAAGAGGCGAAGCCAGCAGCCCAGTACATCCTCTTTCGGTCGGTCACAACCAGCCCTCTTCCTCGGCGCCACGCTCCCTGCTAGGCTTCATGTACAAGCCGCTCCGGTCTAAGGCATGACGGCGTGGCGGAGGGATGGCGGCCGAGGGGGTCTCATATAGTTCCGCAAAACTACAAGGAGTAAACCCTTCGATTTCCCCTCCCCAGGATGATGGTGCTCAGCACCCCCGGAGTTCACTTTCCGTTGAATCGTCTGTCATCGTCAAGTTTAGGAGACGTTCAGTAGCTTCACTTCCGAATCCCGTGTTTCAAAATAAAACAGGGATCCGATTAATTGTACGAATGCTGATTTCTTAGAAGACGAAAAAGTCTTACCATAGTTATGTTTTGACTCTGCTTCACTGACTTGACTAGAAAAGGCTTTCCCAATAAGCAAGATAAATTAATGATTTCCAAATCAATTAAGTGAAAGTGGAGAATATTCCATAACACACCCGATGATTTCACATTTTGGTAATACTGAACTAGAGAGGTCAAATAAACATGTTTGAGATGGACACCAAACTCCAGTTTTGTGCATTTCATCGTTTAATGGTGAAATTTTACGAGCTACTGTTTGTTACAATCAACTCATGAGTATTAACTACTCGTCCTTTCTTTGCCATCCATTCACACGGCTTTTATGAAAATAAAAAGTTGTACAAGTTGAATACTTAAAAACATGCAACTGTTTTCAACACAAGCACATTCAGACCTTCACCATGGTAGGTTTTAAGCCATGGCAGACACTTGGACCACAAGCTTGCTTGGTTGGTAGAGCTTGGTTGGTTGAACTCGACCTCCAGCTAAACTTAAAAATAATCAACATAATATACGTTTGATGAGTTCAACGGCAAAGCTGGCTAAATTATCACAAAAACAATTTGAGCGAAAATGTGATTTCTTTCCTAAAATTATTTTATTCCCTCAAAACATTTTCTGCATCTGCTTTATGATGCTGCTTTTTCACATGTGGACCAAGGGCTAAAGCTTTGTACAAGATGAATCAGGTGATTGCTAACTTGTTCCTGATTGAAGCGATTGCAAGTTTTCCTACTGCACCGTGTTTCACGGTCCTTTGCTTTTATTTTGGCACACCACGGTCAAGATCCGGCTCCAACGAAGCAAATAGTGCACACTTAACACAGCCGGTCTATTGTCTGGTCGAGAGTGCAACTGGAGGAGCCACCCCGCCCTTACGAGCTCCTTCATCCCAGTGAGACCAGAGTCGCACCAGATCAACTCATCCCAGCAACACAGATAATTAGGCCCAATAGCGTTCTATAGAATGTTTATGATGGTACAAATTAGCAGGTCGTCCTACCTAGGTTTACTGAGGTAAAATTGCACTAACTAAAGACAATTTGACAAATTGTACTTGGAAAATTTAGCTTTCACCAAAATATTGACTTTTGAAACTCTTGGTTGTTTTGAAACTCAGTAGTGTGCAGTGATTTTCATGTGTAAATTACTCGTGCTTATAATAATTTAACCATTGGCTACAATTGTATTGATCTAAGAGTACATGAAATAGTAAATGCTTGACTTGCTCCAAAATCCCTGAAAATGGCCCTTGTAATCACCTAGGTAACGACGTAGACAACAGGGAATGTTCATTGCAAATCAACATTTTAACTTCTGCTGATGGATATATTTTTAAGCGTCAAAAGTCATACCAAGACGATAAAGTGAACTATTGTACTCACTCTGGAACAACCTCGGAAGTACAGGAGGTAATTCATGTTGAAGTCGCCGACCATCGCGTGTTGTTGGACAATGTTGGCCTGGCATGCCTACAGATGGCTGCGAACAACTCGCTCAAAGAAGATTTCGTCAAGATCCTTCCAACATCGGGGCCGGAGGCGCTCAACAGGTGGCGACGTGTCCAAGTCAATAACGAGATCGCCTTTTCGGAGAGCAGCGGGGCGATCTGCGTCCGTGTGCTGTGAGTACCGCAATTTACTGGCGCGCACACGCGGCTTGGAGGCGCGCGGAAGAGAACTGCAGAATACGAATTTGGGAGGCGAAAGCATTGTGATAAAACTATGGAGTGTACAAACATTTACTTGTTTTACAGAAAAAAAGAAGGCCGAAACACCACTTTCATATTCTTAATTTTGATTGATTGAACACAGACACACACAAAAAAAAGAGCTAGCTGTAGAAAACGGACAATCGTTACTGTTTTTAGGATTACAGTACTATATTAGTGTGATAGCGTTATAAACATACCCCATCGGTACTTTTTGTTTCCATTTCAATGGTAATAAATACATTTTTTGTTTGTTAGCCTATTTACGAAAGCTGTATAAAAACAACCACGTTGACTGCCAGCTATGTAAAGTGAAATTTGTTGTGCTCTTTAATCAAATTGCACATTTGCGAGTGACCCTTTCATTGTGAGCAGTCTAACTAAGGCACCCGTGCGATAATCATGATGTCTGGTGAGCATCTTGACGGGGAGAACATGCAAAGTCCACACAGGAAGACCGGAGCAGGAATTGAACCCTACACCTCTTAACTGTGAGTCGAACGTTCTAACCAGTTATCACCGTGCCACCATGGCCCATTCATTCAAATCGTATCAAAAAAGCACAATGACTCAAAAATCTCTTCACAATTCCAATTATTGCTTTTTGATCTGATTGATATGCTAAGAGATTTACTAAAAAATTTAAAAGATATATTTGTTTGTGTAAATATTTGATTGTCAAGACAAACAAAACTTAGTGCCGAATGGAGAAACTTCTGTTGGCAAGCTCAATGATCAGTTTTGTACAAACCTCAAAAGATTGTGATCCTCATTACAGAATCTCTCATGTTTCTTGGGTACAGTTCAGAAACTCCAAACTTCAGTTCCCTTCATAGGTTTTCTTTGAGCTTGACATCTGGAGAGAGCCGCGAGCTCCATGACCTCAAAATGCTTCTTGGTGAGCCACTACTACACTGGCAGTTAGTTGTGGGTAATTGTCATGCCGAAAGGCCCATCCAAGACTTGAATTAAATCCCCCCCCCCCCCTGCATTTTTGACTGATATTTTGTGTACTACCATAATCAATAAATGACCCATAAACATTGGAGACTGGGGATAATTTCTTTGTAAGTGAGCAAACAAATTCAGCTGAATCAGATGAAGTAATCACTTCCCCGCTATAGAGGGTGGATTCCCACAGAATACATGCACAGTAATTGAAAACGTGCTCTCGCTCTCACATCCCAACTATTTAGACATCAGACAAAACGTGACTCATTCTCTGCCATTGCCTTTATTCCGATTACATAATACAGTAGTGGCACGTGAAATGCTCTCCACCCTCACAAGCACGTGACTGCCCCCTCTTCCTGCTTCCACGCTAAAAATACACAGCCTTGTGGCGGCAAACTCACACGGAACTGTTTATTGTGAGCATCCCCGACACAAATAACACGTTGCACTCGTGCTCACAATATTCAGCCAATTGAGTTGGAATTATTCAAGATGAGCTCTGAGCGTTCAAAGAGATGCAATGTGGAGCTGCGGCTCTGCTTCTGACAGTCATTTCGATAATTGTCTGCTGCGGAGTTGTGCAAAACAGCAAGCGGCTCAAATTTCTTGACCGATGTCTATGTTCCGTGGCTCAGCTCTGTGAAGCTGCGGAGTTGTCTGCCTTGTCCGTTTGAGGGTTTGATGGGGGTTCCTCAGCCAGTTTGACAGCGTGCAGGGCATAATTGATGGCAGTGCTGTTGATCCAGCTCCAGGCTCCTGATGCTGGATTGTACATCATACCTTGGACCGACTGCACTGAGAAACAATCTGATGGAGGACGAAGTAAGATGTGGGGTCAAAGTAGGAAAAGAGCAGACTTCAAAAAAGTTGCAAGAAATAGACAAAACATTGTGTGTTAAGAAAGTGGGGAAAAAAAGATGACTCTATCCACTAGGAGTTGTGAACATATTTCAAAGAATACAGCTTAAACGTCCACATTTGTCATTTTTTCAGCGTTCAGGATGAATCGTTTTGATTTTAATCGTTCAATCGTTACCTTCCTTTTGAAACCTGCACAATTAAAAATGTTTATGTTTAAAGAATCCACACATGAGGTAAGGCTCATTTTTGCATAAACGTCTTTATCCTTCCTCGTTCATCACAGTGGTTCACTTATTTTGAACACTTTTCCAAAAGTTTGCAAAATTAAAATGGGAATTAATAAAATGACAGCATTATTATGTATATGACAGGGCTACGTACATGCAGTCGTGAAGCTCTGTATGGTAACTTACTGGACTCCAGAAGGCGCTCCAGTTCTACCGGGCTGATGAACTTTTCCCAGTCGTGTGTCCCCCTGGGAACGATGCGAAGCAGCTGCTCAGCCGCCACTACAGCCAACGCGTATGACAGGTTGGTTTTATTAATGGTGGTGATGAAGAGTGAGCCGCCTGGCTGCACAGGGACAACATGGACAGTTTTAGTTCGAACAGGATCGATAATTATTGTACACACTTGTGTCGGCCTTGATGCTGATGCTTCAAAAGTGGGAAGTGCTGAGGTAGATAATCGTACAAAAATAAATTTCATTAAAAAAACTATACAGTTTGAATAAGAAAGTGCTTTAAGATGAAAAGTCGTCAGTTCTTAAATCCACCCATCCATTTTCCGATCCGCTTATCATTACAAGGGTCGCGGGAGGGGTTCTGGAGCCTACCCCAGCCGTATTCGGGCAGTGGGCGGGGCACACCCTGAACCGGTTGCCAGCCAATCGCAGGGCACACAGGGACAAACAACCATCCGTGCTCACACTCACACCTAGGGACAATTTCGAGTGATCAATCAGCCTGCCATGCATGCTTTTGGAATGTGGGAGGACACTGGAGTACCCGGAGAAAACCCACGCAGGCCCGGGGAGAACATGCAAACTCCACACAGGGAGGCCGGAGCCGTAATTGAACCCGACACTTGTGTCGGCCTTGATGCTGATGCTTCAAAAGTGGGAAGTGCTGAGGTAGATAATCGTACAAAAATAAATTTCATTAAAAAAACTATACAGTTTGAATAAGAAAGTGCTTTAAGATGAAAAGTCGTCAGTTCTTAAATCCACCCATCCATTTTCCGATCCGCTTATCATTACAAGGGTCGCGGGAGGGGTTCTGGAGCCTACCCCAGCCGTATTCGGGCAGTGGGCGGGGCACACCCTGAACCGGTTGCCAGCCAATCGCAGGGCACACAGGGACAAACAACCATCCGTGCTCACACTCACACCTAGGGACAATTTCGAGTGATCAATCAGCCTGCCATGCATGCTTTTGGAATGTGGGAGGACACTGGAGTACCCGGAGAAAACCCACGCAGGCCCGGGGAGAACATGCAAACTCCACACAGGGAGGCCGGAGCCGTAATTGAACCCGGTGCCTCTGCACTGTGAGGTCGACGCACTAACCACAGGACCACCGGGCCGCCCTCAGTTCTTAAAGATCCTTGATATCCACCTTAAGGTGTGTGTACTCGTATACTCTTTGTTCTCCCTAGCAAGACAGCTTCAGCATACTCATGGGACGACTACATGTTTGTATTGAGAGAACATTGTGGACAACTGCATGCTACTAGTATCACCAGTGACATTTACCGGTAAATAAAATAACTGGTTAATATCTTGCGCTACACGTGTACAGTAGTACAAGGAGCACAGAGATGTCAAACAGTACGCAGCTTTAGCCCACGAGTAACATGCAGTTCTCCACTTAAGTTATGTTGAGGTTGTCCTACTAGTGTGCAGAAATGTCAAAGGCCTACAGGAGTGGAAAGCGGCAGTGGAAGAAATGTTACTTGTAAGACACAGTGATTCGACGAGTGCACTGACCTGTCTTACGAGTGAGAATAAAAAGCTGCTTGATAAGCTGGTGAACAAAGATCGTGAATGGATGCTCAAAAGGCTTTCAACATGTACAGCACTCAACAAGTCTCTCCAGGGCGACATCTAGTGTTACTTCATAAAGCTGTTCTCACGCTGTCTTGATTTGTCTGGATTTAACAACTTCATAGGGACGAATATTCAGCCGCACAAGCCATTCCCTTAACACTGAACATAACGTGAAAGTGAACTTGTTTGATCATAACTGCGCTCCAAGTGTAAGAAACAAATACATAAAGTTAGAAACAGTGTTAAAAAATGAAAGAGGCAGATTTTCTCTTCAGTGGCAACTGGAATCTATATAGAACACAGTAATGTAATCCCATTGAGGCACAGCAGAGGGTACCTGAGCAATGTCACCATATGTGCCTCAGCTGAACAAGCCCGCGGGGATGCAAAGCAGGATCTGACTTGAGGGAGCAGCTGGAAGCAAGCACACACCTTCAGTATGCGGCTGCAGCAGAAGGCGAATGTTTCCAGGTCGGCCAGATGTTCCACGACCTCGGACGCTACGACGGCATCGAACACCGTGTCTCCCCGGTCCGTCTCTCCTCCCGCAACATCTGCCGACAGCTCCTCCAGGGTGCACGCCCGATAGCTGACCCGCCCGCCAAGGTGGGGGTCACACAACGAATGCAGCTGTGCCGTGCCAATGTTTTCTTCCACTGGGTCAATACCTAACACGCTGGCTCCCAGGCGACCAAGAGGCTGGGGGGTAGGGGTTGGGGGATTATCGGATGAGGTGGATTGACAGAAGAAAGATGCGTTATGATCACTGTGTATGGGAGTGGGACTACTACACATACACTACACATAATTGCATATTTATATCCAATATGTATGGCGGCAAGTAGTCTGTCTTGCTTTATTGAACCATTTTAAAAACCTTGAAAAAGGATTGCCTCGCTCACACAGCCCTTCAGTGTCCATGCATTATTAAAGTAATAGCTTGTAATGTTTTGATGGTTTGGTGTAGCTTTCCGTCATGGTTGGAAATCTGACTGGATATAGTGAATATTGCAAGGAAGCGTGATGTGAAGAAAATTGTGAATTGAATCGAAATGTAATCATTGTTGGAAAAAAGAAAAAAAAATCGCAATTCAATCTTTTCCTAATATCATTCAGCGTTGTAGGTGCATGAATGTTTATCCGCCTGTTAGCATTCATGGTACAACTGAATCAGTCATGGCATCCTGTGTGTTCAATTTAAGACTGAGAAAGTAAATTTGTGAGGAACTTGAGACGAGATAATCATTATTTCAGTGTTCATACTTTTGTCATTTTTGTTTGGTGTTGTGTCAGAAGATATTTCCAATGTAAAGTGGGTGCCTAGGGCTCAATAAAGACTGGGGAAACACTGGCCAGGAGTGATTGAAATTGCCATTTTAGCGCCCCCTCATGGACTAAAGCTAAAAATACAGCGCGGTCTGAATTTACTTGCCCAAAGCCAGTTTCTCCGCTACAGATGATCTTCTCTGATGGGAAGGCTTGCATGAAGTGACATAAACATCTAGAGACACTTTCCCGGTTTGCATTTGCCGCAGACAGACTTTGTGACTTGCTCCACTGTCGGCATCTAAATGACAGTCTGTGTGAGCCGCATAAATACAGGACCTGATTTTGTCTTTCCAGATCACATGGCGCAACTACTAAATCCTCAGCGTAAATGAAAGCCGAGACAGGGGCTTGTTCCCTACTAAACAGCGATCGACACTAACAAATGCAAAAACAATTTCAAAAGACCGAATGTCCACTCCACCAAACTGAGACCAGTCAAGTCAAAAGAAACTGCAAATTAAACATCCGTTTCGATATTTAATGTTTTATGTCAGGTTGGGCAGAGGCCACTGAAAGCACATTCTCACACTGTGAAAGATTTTTGTTTTGCCGAACAAGACACTCTGACAGATGAAGTCATTTAAACAATTGCAGAAGATTATGTTGAAAGGCGACGCTGGTCTGCTTGCCCTTTTAACACCAGCTCTGCACACATATATGTACAAATCCAATTCCAATGAAGTTGGGATGTTGTGTTAAACATCAATAAAATCAGGAAAGAATGATTTGCAAATCATGTTCAACCTATATTTAACTGAAAACATAACAAAGACAAGATACGTAATGTTCAAACTGATACACTGTTTTTAGCAAATAATCATGAAGTTTGAATTTTATGGCTGCAACACGTTCAAAAGAAGCTGGGACAGGGTTATGTTTACCATTGTGTAACGTCACCTTTTCTTTTAACAACATTCAATGAAGGCTGGGGAACCGAGGAAACTAATTGTTGAAGCTTTGTAGGTGGATTTCTTTCCCATTCTTGTTTGATGTACAGCTTCAGCTGTTCAGCAATCTGTGGTCTCCGTTGTCATGTTTTACATTTCATAATGCGGCACGTATTTTCAATAGGAGACAGGCCTGGACTGCTGGCAGGCAAGTCTAGTACCTGCACTCTTTTACTACGAAGCCACACTGTTGTAAAACGCCCAGAATGGGATTTGGCATTGTCCTGCTGAAATAAACAGGGGCGCCCATGAAAGAGACATTGCTTGGACGGAAGCATGTTTCTCCAAAACCTGTATGTAGCTTTCAGCATTTATGGTGTCTTCAAAGATGTGTAAGTTCCCCTTGCAGTTCGCACTAACACAGCCCCCACAGATGCTGGATTTTGAACTTTGCATCTATAACGGTCCGCATGGTTTTCCTTTTTGGCCCAGATTACACAACATTCATAATTTCCAAAAACAACTTAAAATGTGGACTCGTCAGACCACAGAAGACTTTCCACTCTGCTTCAGTCTACTTTAGATGAGCTTGGGCCCAGAGAAGCCGGCAGTCTTTCTGCGGGTTGGTGACAAATGGCTTTGCTGTGCATTGTAGTTTTAAGTTGCACTTTTTTTTTTTTTTAAATGTTGGACTATTTTCTCACGCAGTTATTCACAAAGAGGTGAACCTCAACCCATCTTTGCTTGTGAATGACTGAGCAATGCAGGGAAGCTCTTTTCATACCCAATCATGGCATCCACATGTTCCCGGTGAGCCCGTTCACCTGTGGGATTCTTTTTTAACACCTGTCCCAGCTTTTTTGAAATGTGTTAATTCCATTAAATTTGAAGTTAATAATTATTTGCTAAAGTCAATAAAGTTTATCATTAAATATCTTGTCTCTGTAATCTTTTCAATTATAGAGAGTTTGAACATGATTTGCAAATCATTTAATTCTGTTTTTCTTTTTGTTTACCCAATACAACGTCCCAACTTCATTGGGTTTGTACATAAAACTCCCTTACCTCAGTGAGCAGACCGCCTCCACAGCCAACATCCAGTACTCTTAGTCCGGCAAGTGGTTTTCCAGGATGCTGTGCTTTGTGCATATTCAGCAGATTATCTCTGAGCAGGAAAATAAGCAACAATTATTTAAACCATGAATGTTACACACGAATAGAGCAGCAGTCTGCAATCTGAAATGGGCAAAATAATCGATTGCGTGGGATGCATTCTTTCAATGGAGTGCAGTGAGCTGCCATAACCATCAGTCTTTACTGCACTTTTGATTGAAAAGTAACACCTTATTTTCAAATACAAATTATCATTTGATGTGTTTCTCATTTGTGGTGTGTTTTTTTTTTTTGTCGGGGGGAGTGTTTGTTCTTTGTTCTCAAATGGATGAGAATGGAATCTTTTTTTTAATTGATTATTCTCTTTGAAATGTCCAAAGCCTACAAACAGAGCTGAAGGACAGTGGATTCATGAACTGTCACAATTGTCACTGCTGGGCAAAAGAAGATTCTCTTCGAAAAAGGCAGCACCAGTCTAAAATAATGGCGTGGTGTGGGATGACGTCAGACAGGAACATGGGTATTTTTATTTTTCCCGATACCATGAATGCCAAAAGGTACCTCACCATACTGCTTGTGAGAATGCTCTTGAATTTTCTACTGTCATTTGTATATAAGTGAGGCCCATTTCCCCATAGAGTCACGAATCAAGATGGAGGTCCTGACTTTACGTTTATGAGTGCACAACAAGCACAAGTTATTCTCTGGCTAAATCCAACCTGCAGACCACTGCTGAGCTCATTGCTTTGTTCTGTCCTCCTGCCTTGACTCCCATGCTGTGTGACCAGGCTCGGCCTTGGCCAAAGAAAGCGCATGAGGCACAAATTGCTATCATTTAAGTGTGAGCTTTGGCGCAAATAAAGAAAATAAGTTGACAGCTATGTAGCCAGCGAGCTATGAGATGTGCTAATAAAAGCTATGAGAAATCTAACGTGAAATACCATCTGACCTGTTATTCTAATTAAATAGATGAGGGGGGTTGAAAATTGTTGTTTGCTAAACAAGGGGTGGTTCCAAATGTCCATGTGATCATTCTAAAAGAAAGCACCATAGCGGCATTAACGATATCACAGTAAGAATGTCAGAAGGTGACAACCCTGCAGCGATAGTACAAATGATGCTGCGTCTCATTCAGACATGTCCCCAGGGCTGAGATGCATCAGGCAAATCAGCCACACTCAAAACATGGGCACTGGATCTGTCATACTGTCACCATACCGATACATCAACTGCACCAAAGAGACCACAGTGGGGGTGGAGGAGAGCAGCAATGGCCTCCACGCCGGACGGCTCAAGTCGTGATTATCAAGCTGGCCTCTAGCAGCAGATCTTATCAATCAAAGCAGGCACATGTGCAGTGCTGGGCTGACTGAAATGATGAAAAGGTGCCAACGTGTGGTGGAATTCCGTCAACTTCAATTTAAACGCTCTGCTCTAATATACCACAAGAACAGATTCCCCGAGATTATCTTCAGACAACCAAAATATTCCATCGCACTTTGGAAGCATTACAATTTAAAATATATCTATTGCAATATATAATCTGTACAAATACACACCTTATGAAAGGCACTCTCAGGTCATTCATAGCGTGTAGGGCTTTGAACTCGCCATTTTCATCCCACCACTTGCCGGCCAGTAATCGGAAACGTTTCAGCTCATCAGGGTCCACTGTGGTTTGGTGGACTGCTCTTGTACTATGGGCGGGGGGGGAATGCACAGATGTTACAAATGGGGTGGATCCTCACATCCTGTCAATGTGGAAAAGCCTTATGTTCATTGTTTATTCACATGCACACACATAAATCTCACACACACGTGTAAGGACTACGGAATGAAGTATCTACATAACTTGTTTTACACAACTTGTTTTCATTGGGCTCATCAATGTGCTGGAGTCCATTTCAGCTGAATTTTGGGTGAGAAATGAGGTTCACCACTGGACAGATACATGAGACATCATCTTGCCCGGGTCCAGGCACTGCTTGGATACATCAGAGCCATCTGCATTTTATGGCAGTCAAGACCACCCTGTAAACCAGTACAAGTCGGTGTGACAGTGATGTGTTTTCTGAAGAAATAGTACTACTCACGTTCACATTGACATGGCGGTCAAGAATCATTTCATTTGAACTATTCATAGTTATCAATGAAACATGCTTCTAATCGAGAGAAAGAGTATCAAATATGAAATGAAAAAAAAAAACCTACTTATTTACATACAAAGTTATATTTACACGAACAAGAAAGATGAACATAAGTGCAAAGAAATTACACTTGGGGTTTAAAAAAAGTGCAAAAGTTACTTTTCTGGGGCGGTTAAAAATAGACACTCTTGCAAATATCCATAATTAGGTATTTATAGACGGGAGCCAGCGATCAAATTGATATCATGGTTATTCTTTAACCAATTTTAAAACTTTGGAAAAGGACTGATGTGGCATGTCCACCTCAGAGTACAGAGATTGTGGGTTCGATTCCAGGCCCCAGCCTTTTTGCAAGTTCTCCCCCATGCCTGCGTGGGTTTTCTTCAGGTACTCCGGTTTCCTCCCACATACCAAAAACATGCATGGCAGGTTAATGGAACGCTCTAAATCAGCTGCATACACCTTTAAAGGGTCCAATCTCGTTTTATTGTAAACCTATCAGGGTTGTTCCCGGCTCAAATTGAGGCAGAGGTGGTACCATCCTGACCTTGCACCACGACTTGCATTTATTCTGTGAATTCAACAGACTCATTTTCTTTTACAGAAAATACAGTATACTTTAAGTTAAGAGTTCCAATAAGATTGACTAGTATCATGTTACAGCATTCCTTTATTAACATAGTTAAGGTCTCTTCTCAGAGTCCACAAACTCTTGATGCAGTGAGTTAACGCACAAGTGAGCACTGCAGTGTATTACTTGAAGCGAGAGAGGAACGCTAACGGGGCTGACGTCACCCTGCCATGAATCAGAAGTGATGCTCGTGTACTGACTTCCTTTTGTCAGGGTATGCAGAAGCATGACACCACCTGTTTTAGAAGACAGCGGCGGCTCGGGTTGAGTAGCCCACAACAGTCAACGATGCAAAAAGATTGGTCGCCAAGCGCCCACGCCGTCAATTGGAATATCAGATCGCCTCGTTTGAGCCCTTGGCTCCTGTCTGGCAAAAGATTTGCACTTTTCCTTTCTTGACAGCGCAGCCATCTTCGTTGGCTTTCAGAACACCATCTTACCCATGACCGTCCTTTTTTTTTAAATGTCGTTTGTTTTATTGACAAGACGTCGTATTTCCGATATTTATCGTGCATCCCGAGTTTGCGGGGTGTTTTTTGGGCGGCACTTGCGTGTGCACAGGACAGAGGCGTACCGCAAATGTTTGACGCCGATATCAACCTGCAAAGGTTCAGACAGGTTGTAAAAGGCCTGGTCACGTGACCATTTCTGATATACAATATTTAATAGGAGATCGATAGATTGCCTATTATTTTTCATTAATTAATTTAGCTACTTAAATTCAAAGCAACGTTTTAAGTAACACGAAAGGTGCAGCAACTAATGTTGCAAGTGGGATTAATCGGGTTTGACGTTTGTTAATGTAAATGATTATTTTGAAAGCTGTTACAACACTCGTGTACAGTACCTGAGTTTACGGTGCACGGCCCGCTGTTGTGTCCGCTCCGCAACATTCATCTGGAGCCACAGAGTCCGCTGTTTGCACCCCACATTCCAACCGAATAGGTTATTACCCACGAGACTCTGAACAACGCTGCAAACGGACACTGCTTTGCGGCGACACAACCCTAACATGACACTGCCCGACTTGTTTGCGAACATGTTAATGACAAACACAATTTGTCATCACAAACTGACCGTGGAGCACGGTACTGTAATGACAACTGTTCGACTAGAAACAGCTGAGAAAACGAAGGTTCCTGACTCGTATAATTTGTGTTGACTCACGTTTGTTGTGAATCCGTTCTACATATATTGCATGACAATAGTATTTGTCATGTCCACGCTGCTCTTTAACTTTTCTTCCGTAACAATTCAGGCTTTCGTAGTAGAAGAGTACGGATGGATCATACAAATCTACACCACCACCCTGAGCCTAAATGTTAATGACTAATACAAATTACATTAGACGGCATTTTGTAAATACTGTACCGATTTAAGGGAGCGCTTCTAAAAGTTTAAGTGATGTCAGTTTAAGATAATTACGTTTATCAGCCCTTAAAAGGTTGAGTTTGAGCTCCCGATGGACCACAAGTAGCACGTGGGACTGTTATAAAACGGCTCACCTATGATGGGACATTGAGATTTCCTTAGAATGACAAAGTTATCATTTTAGGATGTAAACACCTGCGAACTCAGTGTTGCGTATTTGTATGTTTCGTACCTTATGAAAGAATTGGTCATAATTGTGAGAAATAATTGATTAATAGGCTACAATCAAAGGAATATGAGCCAATTTGCTATTTCAGAAACACGCATCAAACTTGAAGCCTTTCAGGAAGTAGCAGTTTTTCAAAAGGTTGGTTAGTGACCTCTTACCTCTGAAAACACATATCAGGCCTTCCTGGTCTCATGCCAATATGTGAACTGGATGATAACGACTGCATAAAGAAATGTCTAATTGAGCTAGGAAATGTTTTGGTCTTTTCATGGATCCCACACCTGTTTATCAATTTGTCATTCAGTTCCTTGTTAAGAACAGCAGGTTGTGCAAAGCATACTGGAACATTAAACTGCTGGGACACGTGCAATTAAATGATTAGCTCAAATGAAGCTCATCTGCAGAGGTGATGCATTTTAGGTTGATCCTAAAATGTCACTCCAAAAGCCCAATATACATTAACTTTCTGTAAGCAGAGTATTAATTAATCCTTCACGAAGTTGAATGTACACACTAAATTGTACAGTGTAGCCCCGCTAATCTCAAAGGATATGTAGCAGGTCGGTCTGCAAAAATCCTTGTATTGTGCGTGTGTTGGGGGGAGGGGGGGAGGACAAGGTGAATGTGACTCTGTTATGTTGTAAACACCACATAAGAGAACCAGCTCTCACACATGCAAGCAGCTACAGCTGGGTGAAAGGGGTGCGAAAACAGTGCTGCATGCAACTCTTGAGCGAGAGCGGAGATGGTGGGCAGTGCCTTGGCCAAGGGCAACTACTGTGGTCGCCATTTTTTGTCCACAGCAGGATTGAGACAGTGACTCTCCGGTTTCAAAACTTCAAGTACTTCCCTTGCATTTGTGCTCGTGACACCTCAAATAATCAAACACAACATACGACAATCACATCATTCTTATGTGCTCCATTTTAAATTGATGAATACAATATGCATGTTAATGCTCGTCAACATTAGAGATCAATGCGGCAAAACGAGGACAAATAGTTTTATTGGACATCTCACAATAACGTTTGGTGGCGAAATCTGTGAATCCTGTTTCGATTTAAAATGCTAACTTCAGTTGTTCAGTGTCAGCCAAGGCTGATGCTTTGCCACTGATACAAGAAAGAATTGGAACGAGTCCTGTCTTGCTCCTCACACACACACACACTTTAAAAATAACATATTTACAATGGAGAAAGAATTGTAAAGGGATGACCACCTACACAAGTGCCTCTATAATGAGACATGCCACTTGAATCGTGGAATTTAGAGATGGGGAAATCACGTCCTCAGTGTCTGCTACGGCGACTGGGTGAAGCCGACCTGAAAAAGGATGCACAAAAACAGATTAATAATGCACTGATACATTCATTCAGACTAAAAACAAACAAACAAACAAAACAGGAACATGCAGTAAATACCTACAGTGCCTCACCCACCAGATATTCTTAGAATAACAATCACTTAATTCACAAATTATTGTTCTGAAAGTCTACCCTGCGAATCTTGCTGTAGGACCTTAGGTTTGGATTCCTTTTGCCCTACAAAAAGCTCTTTAGCTTCATAGTGTTTGCAAGGTACACTGCAGAAGAGCCTTGCGCACTGCAACATGGGGCCATAGTTGAATCTACACAATTGCATTTGATAGCCAGCTTCCCACATTTGTCCAACAAAGGACCATTCCCTTAAATGTAACACGTTGGTTAAAATGACTTGAGAGAAATCACAACTGGACAAACAATGAGAACACAGAATAGGAATATAAGAGAAAAAAAAGGAATACTACCTTGATCGCGACTTAGACTTGTGTTTGCGGCTTGCCTTCTTACCAGACTTGTGCGATTTTTCCACTGACCGTGAGCGACTACGTTTGGATTTCTTCGATTTCTTTTCCTTACTAAGTTCCGGCGAAGGGGATCTGCTTGACTCTGAGTTAGACAATCTCTTGCTAGCTTTGGCCGAGCTCTTTTTACTGGATTTGCTATCTTGCCTGCAATACTTGTCACCCTGTGAGTCAGCGTGAGAGTCCATCTCTTTCCGTTTCTTTAATTTGCCGTTTTCCTCACTAACAGAAGAATTGGTCTTTTCTTTAGTTCTTGATTTATCCTTCTTCCTTTCAGAGTCTCTCTCCTTATCTTTATCCTTCTTTTTTTTGTCTTTTTCATGGCTACGGCTTCGATCCCGCTTCCTCTCCTCATCTTTGCTGGAGGCTTTCTGCTTGTGTTTGCTGCTGTGACTATTGTCCCCGCGCTCTCTGCTCCTTTTCCTGTCTTTCTCTTCCCTGTCCTTCTCCCTCTCCCTGCCCTTGTCTCTACTGTTACTGCGGCTGTCTCGGGCCCGGGCCCTGCCCCGATCTCTTGATTTGGAGATACTCCTGCGGTTCCTTCCTTCTCTGGAAATACTGCGGTCTTTCTTGCGGTGTCTCGCTCTTTGCTCCGTGCTGTTTCTCCTCCTGTCCTGGACCTTTTCACTACGACGTCTACGAGAACTGTGGCTGCGACTACGCCGGCGGGCCTTATGGGAAGAAGATCGACTACGTCTCCTCTTCCTTCGAGGGGAAGAGGATTGCGAGGAGCTACGAGAAGACGATGTTGAAGATGAAGAGGACGACCGACTGCTGCTGCGGCTGGAAGAAGAACGAGAGCTGCTGCTGTGACCGTTGGCTGGGGAATCGCTACCACTTCTGCCTGATCTTCCCCTGGCCGAATGCCTTCCCTCACTACTCTCAACCTCACTACGGGACTTCCGCCTCTCTACTAAGGGCTCTGGTTCCCTCTCTTTTACTTCATCTTTGTGATAATTTTCAGTCTGGCCTTCATCATATTCAACCCTTTCTCTACTCAATCGTTCCTTCACCATCTCCTCTGCAAAGACAAAGAGAAGAAAACGCGCATGGATGAGTAGGGATGGCAATCGAAAAACGGTTCTTGTTGAAAAACGGTTCGCAGAGTTTCAATGGCTTGGCATCGTTTGTCGTTTTTGCAAACAATTCCCTTATCAATTCCAGTCGGGACAAATGATATCACCACACACGTTGCGTAGCACAATGTCATTAACGAGTGCGGCTAGCAAGAAACATAGCAAGGAAGGATAACAACTGGGAAACCTGCAATACTTGCAAAGTCGATATTCCTTCGAAGGCAGGTAACACTACCAATATGCAAAAGCATTTGCACACACAGCATTCGATAACTTTTAGATGACAGTTGTGCTTTTGAGCCCAGTAGAGGCAACAATTTAACCACGTCTTCTGCTGTTAATAGTCCCGGTAAGTTAGTGCCATTTCGACCTGATTGTAGAACCTGGTGCCAGACGAGAGACAGCGTCTGACTGGTTCATAGGGTGGCAGTACTCACTCCAGTCTACTGCTAGCTTGGCACACCATGGATGCAGACCTCTTGAGGCCGCATCTGTTGGCTTTGTAAAGTCATGTATTATCTTGTTTACATGTACAATTAAGACATAAAACAAAGCGAATGCTTATATACTTGTTTAGTCTCCCTTTTTTTTCAGCAAAATATCATTAAGAGAACTTATAAAGAATTAAATCATTAACCAGAATCGAAAATGGAATCAGAATTTTATCAATGAATACATAAGGTACTGATTTTACAGCCAATGTGACTAAAAAGTAATCATAAATTAAACATTTGGGGGACAATAAGATCTCACCACGAGCAAGTAGGGCATCTTGTGCATGTTTTTCTTGGAGTTGTTGCATTTCTCGCTCCTTGCGATAGAAGGCATCCAGCTTCTCCCGGATACGATGGCGCAACTCCTCCTCATCAGTGTCGGAGGACTCTGACCCTCGGGCGCTGCCGTCGTCCTCGTCCGCACTCTCCTCCGAGCCATAGTCACCCAGCCCGCCTGCCAAAACAGAACTCCCATGTATTAGTGTTGAACAAGGACGAGCATCAAGTTCTTGCATTCTATGTGTGAAATCATGAATCTTCACCCAAAGTTTAAATTAGAGGCAATTGGTAAAGGTTAAGACCAAACAAATAGGTCATGTATTGCATGCTTCTATCGTAAAAGGGGCATAACTACACCCACAAAAACCAGAGAGCTTTATTTAAACTGCAACATCCGAAGTTGAATATTTGAGAAATATGATTTATCCTGCCAGCTTCCCCCAAACGATATAACTGACAAAGAAAAAAAAATTATGATGCTTCTGCCCTCCCACCCACCGTAAAAAAACGGATACTCACTGAGACCGGTCAGAGAAGTCAGTGCACTTGACTGTGCCAGCTGTTTTGCAGGAGCTTTGATTCACATCAACAACAGGAACAACATGTTAAAACACATATTGCCATTCTCTCAAAGGCAAGAGTCGCTAGAGATTGGGGTCGGGTGGGGTTGGGGGTCACAGATAAAGCACTATTCACATGAGCTGCCATTGGTAACAGGAGAAAAAATAAAAATAAAAAAATGGGAGAAAAGAGAGAGGGTTAACAAACAAAATCCCGTCAGACAATCCACATGAAAGCAGTCAGAGATGAGGGAAAGAACCACTTTGTACTAGTGCATCACATGGCTCCTATCCGTTGTGGTGGCTGTTGGGCAGCAGGACCTTAAGTGCCATGGACCACTGCAGCTTCGAATGCTCAGTGCTAGCTGATGCATTAGCAGAGAATGGTTGTAATGATATCGTATTCTCTTCTTACGCTCATCCAATGCTACTTTACCAGACATGATTATTTTCTTCCTAGATTCAGTTCAAATTCTAACTGTTTGGGTGAAAAGCAGAAGTGCATTAGCTGGACAAGACAAGAGCAGACCTCGTGTTGCTTTGCGGTGGACTTCTTTAGCCACATGCAGGATTTCTTCATTGGTGACTTCCAGAAGGATCTCTGTAAGGAGTGTTTTTGTGATGATCATCTTTAAACAACAAAACAGAAATCCAATCAGTCAGGCGCTCCTAACTATGACATTTTCTGTCATGCGGGACAGACCATCTGGAATTCCTTTTCCTCCTCAGTCATTTCTTGTTCACTATCTTCTGCAGGAGGCGATGGGCTCGGCACAATAAACTCTTTTTTTACAGGAGGCTTTTCTTCATCATGGTCCTCATTTGCTTCATCATCACTGTCCTGATAAAGACAGTAGCACCCATTTTAAACGTTCAGTTCATGACCCCCAATACCTTTCATCAACATTCATACAAAAACAAACAAACACATTTTTTTAGACAATAAGATGTCACTTGGAAAAAAGTGTCTGCTTACAAATTTACTCCTACGGGGAACACGAGGCCCATCACCCCCTTCATCCACCTCGTGCGCTTTGTCGTCGTCTTTTGACATTTCTGCACGCTCCTTCTCCATTCGCTCTCGCTCCAGTTTCTTCTGATTTTCTCGGTCCCTCTTTTCTAGGCCCTCTCGGATCCAGGCAGGTAGTGTCCGTCTTTTCACTGCATCTGGAGATGGCCAAAGGTTTAAATGATGCTTGTCATTGGCACTAACTTTGCATGCTGACATCTATTCACCACTCAATATTCCGTTCGTTGGTATTCCAAAGTCGGATGCCGTATTTGAATAATCATTCGGAAATAGAAATAAGGATATTATTTACAAAGCCGTAAGAGTAATGCTCAGGAATTGATCGTGCGTTTCATCTTTGAGTTTGTGTCACAGACATAGCCCGTTAAGCATGAAGGGGCTTACCAAGTGGTGCTGGGGCTTCCTGTTTAATTGGAAGCTGTACCGGGGACCTAGGCCGGTCCCTGAAGCCAGGTGGTCGGGCATCCCGTCTGTTCTGAGGGTGCCCCTGCCAGTATGGGGCGTGGAACCCAGAAGGCGGCGGGGCAAAAGCTGAAGCAGCTCCATGCTGTTAAGAGACAGCACAAAATTCAAAGTTACATCAAGTAATCACGGGCTTGAAATTCTGAATGCCGGGTTGGGGTCGTCGTCTTCTGGAATGGTAAGAGCCAAAAATGACTTACGCCTGTGCTGGTTATATTGTTTGGCTCAAAAGCTATGAAAAGAATACCAAACCATGCTGGATCCTCAACATGCCAATAGACTCCTTTCAACTGCCTCAAGGAGGCAATGACTGATACACCTAGATGATTGGACCTGGCAATGTTTCTATGGAAAACCCAAATGCTTCAACAATTTTGACTGCATCATCTGCATACCTGATAATCAAACTGGTTTATGGCCATGGGGGCCATGGCGTAGCTGTCGGGCTGTGCCCCATACCCATGGCTGTTCTGGGGGAAAACCCCGCGGTGCGCTTCAGAGTTGAACTCTGCACTGTCTTGGCTGTTGCTATCTTCACTGGGGTTCGTGACATCCATCTGAGTTGAGCCCGGAGGAATCCAGGTTTGTTCAGGAGGTGGTGGAGGAGGCGGTGGCGGTTGGCCATGCATTCCCCATTCTGTTCATGACAAAATATTTCATAAATATGTGGTAAACCTGGGTGGGCGGAAAAACAAGAGCATGCATCTTTGCTTCATTCACACCACACTGTAGTTTCAGGACCATAAGGCGCACTTAAGTCTTAATTTTTTTCCAAAATGGATGGGGCGCCTAATAATGCGGGTCGCCTTGTGTATGCACCGAGTTCCAAAATCTGTGAATGCTGTTGTGTGACTTCGATGAGGGGTCTGATTGACTGATGTTGTGCCGACACGCTGCTTATATAGAGGAAAGGCGAACGTACCTGAGGAGGACAGCAGACGGATGTTAAAGTGGGAAGGGTGGGCGTGAAAGACGATGCTAAAGGCACGCGACAGAAGATGTATATTGTATAGTATATAGTATTCGCATTTTGCAAAACAACATCCCGAAAATGGCACATACAATATGAAGAAGCTCGCTTACGAAGCACAGTTTAAACTGCAAGCTATAAATTATACGGAGGACCATGGGAATTGAGCAGCCGCGAGAGAATTCTAGAATCAAGTAATTCATGGTGCTTGGTGTTTTTGTTTTATGAAATGCTGCCATCTATCCATCGGGGCTAGGACGACAGTGACGCAGCAACATCTCGGGATTATAAGGACAAGGTGGCCATCTTCCACTCCTACTGCAATAAAATGTGTTCCGCACGAAATTAAATAAAGACGCTTTCTTGGAGATTTTAAATCCTTAATTCTGCCATTTTCCCAGCCTCCCTTGGCTTCCATTACCGACTGTTCTCTCAACCAATCCCCACATTCCTACCCACCCGCTAGGGCTACGGCTAGCTGAGGGACAAGCATTATTTGCATTTTGAAATACAACAAAAAGATTGCAGAGAAACACATCCAGCTGAACTGAAAGAGTATCACTCCAGAAGCTAATGCTAATTTCTCTGACATGACCTTTTGAACACAACCATTAATACATTTGATAAAACCTTTTAAATGCTCAACAACGCAACATCAAATAAATGTCCTATGGGATTAACAACGAAACAATCACTGAACATAATACGATTGATGAATACAGGCCCCCCCCCCCCAAAAAAAAACAACTTTTTTTAATTTTTAAACTTCAGGATGCTCTCTTATTGTGAAGTTACTGTACATCACCACAAGTATAGTGGTCGTGTAAATAGTGATATACTGTCATATGACAAATGAAATATCTGTAATGTACTTCTGAATACACATAGAACGTGGCATTCACTGAACAGGTGATATTTTCATCACAACAGCTGCACGCACCATCCAAGTAAATCAGTACCATTTTGTGGCTAACTAACTGGTTATGCTATGTATAAATGGGCAACTCTGACAATGTTTAGAGTGATTAACTCCTTTATTACTGGCCTCCTTGGCATAAGTAAACATATGTGACATAATTCTGCTCGGGTCTGTTTCTTAGTGGGAGTTTTCGTTCCCATGTCAAGTACAGAAAAAACATTTTGCTGCCGCGTGTCTATTTTTAATGCTGAAATAATTGCTACTCACTTTGGTTTCAAAAGCCTCTAAACACGCTCTAACCAGACTTAATAGTGGATTGGGTGTTCCTCACTGTTTGACCTTACAAACCGATTCCAAATGACTGATAAAACCGTCCATCTTTGGTAAATTTGTTCCTTTTGCTGCTATGTTGTTAGTGTTAAAAATCAGCTAATCAGCAACAAAAAAACTGAATAATACAATTTTTTTAAAATGGCAAATTTACAGGTCGCACAAGCACGGGTAGATGAAAACATTTACTTGCAGTGTGTGCTGTAAGTGCACACATTAATGCAACATTTGATCGCTGTCGGGTGGAAACACTGTTTGTCCATATCCGGTGGGTTTTACGTTTTCCACAAATCGATACTATTGGTTCTGTCTCCACATGATCAGTTATTTTTACACATCATTATCCAATTTAAAAAGTATTGAAAATAGCTATGTGTTGTAAAACACAGCCTCTCCCCCTCACTCCGCGGGAGCCATGGGGCTCAAGACTGAAGTCTGGATCTTTTGGGACAAAAACGAGTGAAAATACTAAGGTTAAATATATTTGAGTAAGCCTGTTTTGTTAAAAATGGATCGTAGTAATGCTTCGTTGCAGAAGGATGACTGTATGAGAAGAGGGTAAGTTTGCGTGCAGATTAACATTTGTCTAATACACGTGGGAAGTCAGTTTATTGCATCACTCATGGCTCTAAGACCGTTTTAAAAAACTGGAAAGATGATGTAAGATGTTGATGTTCGCTTTTGTAATGTTCATAAAGTTTAAATCGAAGCAGATTGTGGCACCCAGTGATGTTTTCTACCATTTTAGTCAATGATAGCGGAATGAATTTGTATTTTTTTTTTCCATTTTGAACACCAACAGAACATGATTTGGGTTGGGGTACTGTTATGTTCATAGTAGTGCCCAACAGGATATGACAGCAATACATGGTACTGTATAATGCCAAGTTGAACAATGCAGTGTTTGGTAACTCAAGTAAGATAGCGTTGTTTTTTTTTTGTTTGTTTTACTTTCCCTGAAAAGTAGTGACTTTTGAATATATGAGAATTCTACCCCAAAACGACGATTTACAATATGTACAGGGCATGACTGTATTGGGCCAGCCGAAATTCATTGACGCAAGCCAACTAGGCCAGTACAGATTTCAGAAATAAATATGATGACATTAACATGTTCTTTCTTTCCACATATTTAATATTCAGTATTTTGAGTGAAAGTGATTAATCATCAATGATCTTTATAACGTGCTGCGCACATTTTTTTGCACATCAGGTTAAATCCAACCATAAGGAATAGCTTGATCAAGATTTAAATGTCAGTCACATTTTGTTGAATAAAAAAATAAATGTACTTGTTACACACAGCACCATGTGCATTGTATGAATAGCACATCAATGCTGTATAAAGATTGCCACTTGACTCTGCGTCGGGGGTGTAAGGCTCAAACACTACGTTCTTCCATCCATTATTACTATTTACTGCTTTGTGGGCGGTGGGGCGCAGCAGCTGGCTTTAGGACAACATTATGAAAGAGGGGCAGCAGCCACACTGGGAGAGGCGGGGTTTTAGCGAGCCAGGCGTCCTACTTCCATGTTCGAAAAATAACAACCAAAATAACTCATATCTCATAAGAAATCGCCATTATGAACTCCATTGCCATGTGCCAAAAGTAGAAAGCATAAAATTGAATTTTGCAGATCCTTTAAATATTCAGTTTGATTTTACACCACCAAATAACAATAATAAAATCACACAGCAGCAAAAAAAAAAAACCCAAAAAAAAACCCCCGCAATTAAACAAGTAATATTTTCTTAAAGTCTTAAATAGTACCGTATATTGAATTGATTACAACTTTATTGTCAAATGTGCTGTATGTATGACATACAGCACAGATGAAATTTCTCCCCTCTCAACATAAAACAAGAGGAGCCGCTGCGGGTGTCTGCACCGCCATCAAAAGAAAAGTTAACAAAAATAAAGATACCAAGTATGAAATACTTTTTTTAAATTGAAACTTATGTTACAGCATGAATATACAGGGCCAGTGGTGGCTCAGGCAGGGCCAACACAACATGGCTTAAGGGCCAAAAAGGCTTAATGTTGGGACCCTGACGTATTTGCGTTACATAAGTTCTTACCTATTTTGTTTCAATTTTAGCGGTAGCAGATTAGTTGCGCCTGAAATATTTGAATTCCAAGTGGTAAAATTGTTGGTGAGTTTTTTTTTTTTTTTAAAGCTGATGATTACACAAAATTAAACAGCTGATCAAATATCAAGCAACAAAAAACTATTAATGCTGCATCTGTTTATCCTGCCCAGCCCTTGCTTGGATGACACAATTTTAGAAGAAAAACATAGCTGAAAATAATATGCAATAATAACAAACTTCAGTATTCACATTGATCCAACTGTGTTTTTAGACATGTACCTGGCTGCCACATTCTGCCAAAAGCAGAGTCACCCTGGAAGGACCCATGGTTGCCTTGTGCTGGTGGTTCCAGACCTGGAATTTCCTGTCCATTGGGTTGAATGTTAGGCTCTGATCCAGTAGACTCCTTGTGTGCTATCCAAGCTTGTGCAAGGGCAGCCCAGTCTACTTGACCTGTGCATGGATATCAAGCAGTCAACAAAGACATACACTTGGTGGCATTCGTAAATAAATTTTAGTGGAAGGTGGCCAGTGCATTCCTCACAGACCTGGATCTTGCTGGTGCTGGAAAGACTGCATCCATTGCTGCTGGCTCAGAGGCCACTGCGGCCAGGGCTGGCTTCCCTGGTCCCACATTACTCTATAAAAGAGCCAAAACTGAATTACATTTACACCATGAGTGTTGCTGGCTGCAGCCAATATGACTGAACTGTTCATCAGAGTCGTCTGGGACAAACGTTAGCGTCGTGCTAAACTGGCTACAATAGTTGTAAGGCTTCATGAATGGGTTCTTTGTGGAACGGCACATTGTAAGAAAGAACGCACACATTGACTGCATACCATCTAAACGAGAGACTACGAAATAAAGCAGGCTGGAGCTCGAATGGAGGATATAGGTTCGGACGCACATCCAAGCTAACATGAGATCGCTTTAGCTAAGCCAAGAATGATGGCTAACCAAGCCACTGCACTGACAGCTAAACCGGTGCCAATGTTTACTTTGCGTTCACATTACATCATTAAACAATGCGATTGTAGAAGCGGAAATCCTAAACGTTTGTGGGGATAAAAACGTAAGCTTACCTTTTCCGAACAACTGATCCCAGGCGACAGGCGCTGGTGGTCCAAAATGGCTGCCGTGGGAGAGCAAGCTGCTGAGACCAAGAGTGACACTCCGCTGCTTCCTGTCCACTTCTTTTATTTGACACAACACTTCGGATTTGGATTTCTGCTGCATTTAGACTTCTGCTGCGTTGATCTTAAATTCATTTGGGAATTGGGGTTCTTTGTATGAAAAAATTGGACAACACCATGCCCGATAAACTGTGATCTCATAATAAATTGATAAAGTAATTTTAACACTTCAGTAGTCCGTGTCCATTTTCCTCGAACATACGAAGGGGGAAAAAAACGAATGTAGTAATGTACGAGGAAAAAACGTTTCATAATTGCCTATTATATATTCTATTCCAGAGAATAGCCTATACTGTACCACAAACTCCAATCCCATATAAATTTTATGTAATCTATATAAATTAAACTGAATTGTGAATTCTTTCTTCACATACAGTACATAGCTTGTTTTTCAGTGAAGAAGTTCACTTCAATAAAGTTCCGTGGTACCATTTAGGGACGGAGCTACGTAGTGTACTGGTGTGTGGCGGTCTCGTGAGTCGAGGGTGTGGCAGAAAAACAACGCCGAAGAGTCAAGAATGTAAACATATGGGGGCGAGTTATAACTTTGACATGACTTACGTATACAGTTATTGGTTGAAAACAGTTGAAGCCATAAATGTTGGGGTGACTGCAAAAGGGGCAAAAGAGTACCCCGACTGGTGATGAAGCAGGTGACAATGACACAGATGACACATTAAGAGCAGACAGCAAACAGTCAAGTAACAGCGATTCTGATTCACCCTGCTTGCTACCAAGGTCAACAAAAATTGCTCAGAACAAGAATGGCCAGACTGCCAGTCTAAGGACCGAATCGGGTTAGAATTAACTTTGTATTACTTAATATACATATTTATTATCTATTATATATTTATTAATCCATTAACTTAATGATTTGCTGTTAGTCACCGACTAATTTACCTGGCAACAGTTGAATAAGGAGAGCACCGGTGCTTATTTTTTTCCACTTAATGCACTGGCAGTATACAAAATGTTGTCAACCAATGTGACAAGTGTTCACTCTGATTGGCTAGTTAGCAAATCAGTGCATGAGATAGAAGGTGACTGTGAGCTAGTGCACACAAGTAAAACAACTGCAAATATAATGGCATTATCCAGTAAACCCTGATTGCATGGTATATGATAGACCAGGGGTCGGCAACCCAAAATGTTGAAAGAGCCATATTGGACGAAAATAAACAAAAAACAAATATGTCTGGAGCCGCAAAAAAAAAAAAAAAAAATGGCTTCTAAGGGAGGCAACATATGCTGTATGTATCTATATGAGCTATATTAGCCTGCTATCAACATGACATAGTTGGCTACAAATACACAACGAGCATTCATAATTAAAAGTTTTTTTTTTCCCCTGCAGTTCATACTGTAGAGGAGGGGTGCCCACACTTTTTGGATGGAAGATCTACTTTTCGAACAACCCACCTCCCGCGATCGACCCGTTACTGCACACGCATGCCGTAATGAGCAACAGTCAAGATGAACGACGCACGGGACGCACTTTCGAGAGCGTGCTAACTATCGTAGCTCATGTGTACCATTTAAAAATGCTTCTCTTGGCCGCCCGCCGGTCGGGCCGCGTCGCGCTCCCCCCCTCCCCATCCATCCGCCCCCTCATTACATGTTATGTCTTGTGACTTGTAACTGTCATATGCTTTTGATGTGCATCGGGTATAGAAGATAGAAGAAGAGGATAGTTCGAGCATGGTTTTTTCCCTTGTTTACTTTTTCAGATTCAGATTCAGAAAACTTTATTCATCCCCATGGGGTAATTGGACTTAACAGGCACGCTTTGCACAAGAAACTAAGATCTTGTGGCGCTGTACATATGGCGAGTACCGACAGGCCCTTCGCACTGTATCCCAGGGATAAATAAAGTTTCCTGAATCTGAATCAGATTCCCATTCTGAGCAAGTACCTTCGGTGAATTGTACATGAAAGGCAGTGTTTTGTTTTTTTTTTTTTTTTACAACAGCCCCCTGACTGACATCCCGCACTGCTAATAGAAACGTGTGTCACAGGCTATGACGCAAATATTCGTTTGACATTTAATATTTATTCGACACATTTTTACAGCATCAGAAAACATTAATGGTTGTGTCATGTTTGTCCTCTGACAGAAACCGTATTAAAACAAAAAATATATATTTCCCTCCCATCTGTTTCCATTTTCAAAAATTTCTGAAAAAGCTCTAGGGAGCCACTGGGGGCGCTAAAGAGCCGCATGCGGCTCGAGAGCCGTGTGTTGCCGACCCCCGTGATAGACAATGACTTCTGTTACAGAGAGGGTTACAAGCATGTAAATGTACACATGAATGCACACGTTTGCCGATGGCTGCCTCCTGACTGAGATGTTTTGTTATCCTGGCCACTCCACTGAAAATTTTCTGGCTGTCGAGGACAGGGCTTTGGCAAGTCTTTCAGCAAATAAAACACATCTGTGTGAATACATGAATTCGAGGGGATGCACTTACACAGGCAGGACAAAGGAGCACTGTGGGCATCAGTGCCCAAAGTGTCCCTTTGTCCTATTTTTTATTTTGAGGTACATGTCAAAGCCATTTTGTTGCCTTTCAAGAATAAAACTCAACAATTTAAATGATCATTATAACACTCCCCTTATAGATTACGTCATATATTTCTCGACGCGCCGCTCTTTCAAAGGCAGGTCACCGCTGCACCTGCTGTCTCGTTTTTATGGCTTAGTTTAACTAGTCTCACAGTCCACAAAAATCCAAAGACATTGTCATGTTTAATTCAGAAAACTCATGCAAAACATGAAAAGAAGTTTGATTAGTTTTGTAGACGTATCACAGAGTCTAATTGTGTTACACTGTGAGCTATCTTAAATTAAAATGTAGTGAGACAAGTCATGTTCTTATTCAAGTTTACCTTTGTTTACCTTCTTCTAACATTGGTATCATATTGATGGAGAGTGTCATTTTCCTTACATGGGTCATTTTTAGCGACTGGTAACTTTTCAATGTTCTAACCTTTGTGAAAAACTTTTTCATATCTTGTACTGTATGTTAGTAAAACATCACTCCTCTGAGCTCTCAGAGGGGGCTGGCCTTTTGCTGGCTTTAAGGTCAGTAGTCAGCAGTCTTCGCTTCGCAGGTGGCGCAGGTTCGAATCCCTGGAGGTAGGTGGTGCAGGAACGCCATCATCATTTACACGTGTCCCTCTTTTTACTCTGAGGACCTGCCCCTCCTAAGGTCACTGCACATCCCTGGTCTGTTGGTTTGTAAAACAACTACTGACCTAAATACAAATATCCATCCATCCATTTTCAGATTCACTTATCCTCACAACGGTCGTGGGGTGTGCTGGAGCCTATCCCAGCTGTCTTCGGGCAGTAGGCGGGGGACACCCTGAACCGGTTGCCAGCCAACCAGGGCACACACAGACGAATAACCATCTACGCTCACACTCACACCTAGGGACAATTTAGAGTGTTCCATTAACCTGCCATGCATTTTTTTGGAATGTGGGAGAAAACCGGAGTACCCGGAGAAAACCCATGCAGGCCCGGAGAGAACATGCAAACTCCACACAGGGAGGCCGGAGCTGGAATTGAACCCGGTGCCTCTGCGATGTGAGGTCAGCGTGCTAACCACTGGATCACCAGGCCGCCCGGTCACGTCATTGTTGTGCCATATGACTTGGCCACTTGGTGATCGTCTTCACTGTGTTCCATTTAATGTCTTCAAAATTCTTTGAAAGCTCTCTGCAGCCTATGGCGCTGTGCTGTAAAAGCCTCATAGAACTGCTGAATTTGTGTTTGGGGTTAATCAGAGGAATGTCAAAAGGTGGCAGATTATTTTTTTCGTTTTTCAAATTAATTGTATGGTCTCTAGTGGGGGTAGAAAAACTAAAAAGATGGATTCTGGGCTCATTTCTTTTTCTGTCACAAAAGCATGATATTTTGAACACGAGTAGGTGTGCAGACCTTTTAAATAAATTGTAGGTCCCCTTCACCTTTTGTAAATACTTTTATGTTACCAAAATGGTAAATACTGAAAAGTTTAATCAGCACATCTACAGAACATTTCGCTACATGAATGTATATTTCGATATTTCAGCAATTTCATGCAACATTTAAGTTGGATTGTGGTCTTGGTGTGTTCTATGCTTTGTGAGGAGAAAAGCCAAAGGCAGTGTGCAGAGCTTTACACGAAGGGATGTGTTTACGTTATTAATTTGGATATGTGAGCTGTGGCGTCAAACCGGGCGAGGCTGGCAGTGATGATGGCGTGTGTGGTGAGAGCAGCAAAATTTAACCTGCACTGCTGGTCGACAGTGATGAGCCCTACAGCACCAACCCATTTGTTTCTTACAACTGTCTCAAAGGGGGTGGGCTGTATTTTTGTTAACTGAGATTAACTCATGTCTAATGCATCAGCAGCATGTCTCTGAGCCAAAGGCCATGCCAGCCACCCCCGTATTATAAAAATAGCCAAACACATTTCAGAAAATATTTGCTTTTTCATTGGTGGCAGCTTGACAACCTGTTCTTACGTTGCAGCGGCGTGACTTGTGTGTCACAGCTTGTAGTAACAAGAGGATGCACATGGCAATGTTTGTGGACGTTGCCCTTTTCCTGATTCCACACCCACCTCCTCATCACCAGCTCTCGACATGTTGTGGAGCAGTCCTGCTTTGCGCCTGTCAGGGCATATCAGCAGGCAAGATGGCTCAAATGTGGCACCATGGGACACAGACCGACAGTCAGAGCGTTTGTCGCCGCAATTTCAGAGAAAAGGAAGGAACAAAAAACAGGATGACAACAACTCCAAGTGCCAAGACAATACATCATTTTCATCATGCCCTGCATTTTATTCAGGCTGTTGTGGCTAAAATACGGACTTCTGAAGAAGATTTTGTCCATAAATTTGATTTATTTAATTTGTAATACTCTATGTCCATGGTTTCAATGTATAACAAGAGTTCATTATTTCAAGATGAAATGTCCTACAAAAAAGTAATTGCCTCAAGGAGAAACCCTGCATGCCGCAACATATCGCACAAGTGTAATACACATTTACAAACTTCAATGGAGATGAATGTCACATACAGTAGCCATCGGGGCATTTAATTCTGCACGCGTTTCTTTTCACCATGCATGTTTCATAACAATTGGCATAGGCAGTGAATTTGTGGAATCTTATGTTTTAACAAAAAAAAAAAAAAACCCTCTAAATCTCTATTATGCCAATAAACTCCCTTTTGGCAAATTTTAAAAATGTTTAGACAAAAAAATATATAAAGTCTCATTTTATGATGCAAGAATAATCAATAAATGAATTAGAACATTGATCCCATGCATATTACACAAAGATGTTGTTTTACTAGTAAGGCTTGAAGCCTCAGTTTTTCATTCCTATGATTTGGTAAAACCTTACCAATAGTAGCTGGGTCGACATTTTAAGTGTCTGGTTGTTTGCTACTACAGTAGAGGTCAAATACTGTGCAATGAAGGCAATCAGATTGAAATGATCAACAGTATTTTGCATGTGCCACAAATGATTGATTGCCTTAAATAGACAAAAAAAAAAAGTTAAGGCAGAAAAATACTTTGGTTTTGATTTTCGGATATGACTTGATCTTTGGCAAATGTGATGTACTGAAATATTTTTGCGCAAAAGGGAAAAAATGGATTGTACAACCTTTCTACAACCGTTTTGCAAATCCTTTAATTTGCTATGTTATGTTTAATTTGCAAGTCAAACAGTATTATGTGAATTTTGACTAACTTCAAATGTTAATCGAGATAATTTCACGATTTAGAAGTATGAATTTATGAAAGAAAAGAATTGCAAATGTGATTGAAGAAAAAACATTTCCCTTTTCCAATCCTTAAGAGACGAACACATGACACTAGTCAGATTAATGTCCTGTATGAAATTTGTCAGATCATATCATTTCCTCATAGAACAGCAGATATGCTTGAGAGAGAAGAACTCTGGACTCTGGTACCATTTGGACCGTAGTATCACTGATGTAGAACCACTGGCCCTGGGAACTGCTGCTATAGTCCTTTGCAACTGAAACACACATACACAAACATTGTGTAAAAACAATGGGGTAATAAAGTTTAATTTGATGGAGGCAGTAGGCTGCGATACTGACAAAATGTTTAGCTGCTAAATCACAAGAAACTTTCTTTGCAGGTGTGTGGCAGTGGAATTTTGTTTGTTTGGTTTATTTGTACCAGCATCACTCACATCTCCTTTATTCACATCATCACCAAAATGGATTGAAATACAGCAATCCCTCACTAAAACACGGTGTGTCTTTCACAGATGTTTTTTTCGGTCATTGTATTAGATTTTTTTTAAGTGCATTGTGTTCAGCATCCTGATTGGCTAAGAGACTGTAGACTAATGTCAACAGTCTCCCCGCCTCATCACTGTACATCTTGCCAAATTTTCTCCATGACAAAACCCACAATGTCGACAAAACGTTACATTCAGCATTTCTTTAAACTGTCAGCTGTTTGTAAGAAAACATTTATATTTTAGTTTTATTTTAAATGCCTGGTCTTGAAAAAAGGCTTAATCTTTGGTTTCATTCAATAAAGTATTGGGTATGTCATAATTGTAAAAAATAAATATGACTACTTCACGGATTTCACTTATCATGGGTTCTTTTTGGAATGTAACCCCCGCGATAAACGAGGGATTACTGTATAAACAGTTTAAAAGTCATTTTTTTGGTTGTTTCTTCATGCGCCATTCCTATAAAAACTTTAGCGGACATTGGTTTTGTGAACCTGTTGTATCCTATTAGTTGAAATTTTACAAGTTACTGACTGAGGCAAAAATGGGTATACTATAAAACAAAACTAGTGGTGAACTTAGACTTCTGCACAGTACTATACATAATTTTTTATTGAATTGGAACTGAACTGCAGCTATGCCTCGGTGTATATTCTGTCATCCCATTCGCAGTAATAATTTCTTAAGTTGATCGAAAAACTTTAAATTCTAATTAGAAGTACCATATCTTTCAGACTATACATCACACTAGTCAAAAAGTCATGAATTAGAAGAAAGTCATAAGTCACTCAAGCATGTAAGTCCATTTTGGGGGGGAAATTTATTTGACAAATATGGGACCAATTATAGCCGAGCTCAGTCTCGCACCCAAAATCCTTAATCGTGGGTGCACTCTGAAATGTGCTCCGGGCACGCATTGGCTTGGTCCGACCTTTCGGGATCTCAAAGCATTGTTCAAATGTGCCGTTTGTTTATTCAGAATGTCTCAGTGAATGGCGTGCCCGAGACTAGTGCGTCAGGCAGTACAGATGGAAAAACTTCGGGCACGAGCCGCTTGTTGGTTGATAGCATAGGTTGAGTTTGATAATTATTGGGAGGGGGAGTGCGCTCTGCCTCTCTGAGCCCACACATTCTCAGAGTGGTGATAGGGCCTCAGAGTGAATTGAGTAAAGGTGCGATGTGCAGATGTGATTGACAAATATATATTATATAAGGAAAGAAAAAAACAAAGTAGTGTGCCTCTGTCTCCGATGACAGACCATTCATTAGCACATCTCAGTAACAAGCAAAGCTGTCTGTCTCAGCTTGACACAACTCAAATGCAACATTTGCTTCATTGAGGACAAGGGGTCAAAAAGGGGAGTTACAACCATTCGAAAGTAATAGAGACTGCTCAGCGCTGACCTGACAAGTTCCTGTGATGCTCTGTTTTCTTCTGGGGAGCACGGACTTTTACATACGCAGTGTAGTGACCACCACGCATTGAGCCACTATGCTCTACAATCCCATACAGGCTGTAAAGAACACGGTCGCCATGCAGCAGGTTCTGCTAAAGTTGAGGAAATACAATTAGCAGTAAGGAAAACAAGAAAGGTAATAATAATAATAATAATAATAATGGTGATAATAATAATAATAATAATAATTTACTTAAAAAAAAAATTTAAAAAAGGGAAATAGTGCCCAAACAACAAAGATCATGAATCAAAAAATACAGGCAATGAGAAAGAGTAAAACGATTGGGCACAGACAATGCAGTTGTACTTCATGATGAAATACATTTCTACCTTGCATGATGCTGAACAAAATGGGGCCAGATCTAAAATCAAAGGAAAGTCGACATGGCGGTTCACCTTTCGTAGATTCATCCCAGCCTTTGAAGACAAAATGGCAGCAGACAGATATCTGACTCTCAGACCACACACACTTTTAAAAAGTTCAGAACTTCACGTATTAGGTTTGTAATAAAAATGATGAAATGATTAAAAAAAAAGATGAGAAACCTGGTGGAAGCGTTTCAGATGCAACGTGATCACAGGAGGAAGTGAGGAAATGAGCATTTGTTTCCTTGCGCTGGTATAAATTTTCTCCACCTTTTTCTCTACAACAGCAATACAAAAACAAAAAAAAAGTGAGAATTTAAGGTAACAGATGCATTCAACCCATTTGTTTGACTGGAGACCTGTTTGCAAAGAAACCATTTTAAAATCCTTTGCAGGATAAACAGGGACATGCAAAGATTTCTGCCCACCAGCTGAGCTGCTCTTGCGCATCTGCTTTTGTCTGCGTTCAGTGCAGCTCTCACAAAGCAACTTGTTGTTGCCCATCAGAAGTTCCACCGAGGTAAACTGGTGGAGGCAGGACTGGATGGAGCACTCCTTGGAGCCGGGATTGTAACTTTGGGAGAGTGCCTGGAATGCCCCCTGGTGGTAATGATGGCGGAGATTCTCTCGGGATTTTGTTTCCTCTGGTTCTTCCAGAGAACATCGCAAAGAAGGAGGGTTGTCCCCTGAACAACAGCCAAGGCTGACTTTTGACAAACTACTTAAAAGAGGCTCGACAGTGTCAACTTGCTTGGAAGAGGATGATGGTGAGGTAGAAACAGATACAGTGGATGAATTGAAAGTGGGTGTTGGGTGAGATTGGACATGACTGGAGCAGGATGTGTGCGGGGTCCACTCGGTCTCTGAAGCCTCGCTGTCGGCATCGTTACTGCTGTCCTGAGGACCAGAGCCTCTCTCACTGCCATCTGAGAGGCTTCCGCAAGCGCCCATCTTGTGAGCAGAGACACAGCGGGCTGATCCAGTTGCAATTCCCTCTTCTTGGGGTTGTTCCACACTGCAGCCTGCCCCTTTTCCAGCCACAGAACTGGAAGACCTCCTGCCACAATGTTTCTGAAGAAAAAAAACAAAAACACCCACAACATCTTGCCATCTTTCACATTTGAATGTTGATGTGTAAAATAGTGTAGAATAGTAGCGGTGACCCACCTGTCCACTCAATTTCCTGGTGTTTTTGGTGGCCGAGTTTGTAGTGGAAAGGACCGCCGTGTTGGTTTCCTGCTCCCGACTTCCCTTCGCTGGCCTGACACTGTTAGATGGTTTTGATATCTGTGGCAAGTGTACAACACCATCGGCACAAAGTAAAAAAAATATATATTTAATTTTAAGCATAATTAAGAATCCATAAAACTGCTATTTCTAGAAAATGTTCAGCGTCTTACACGTTCCTCTATGATGGGTAAAGAGATGTCTATGAAAGCTTCCTTAACTGTCGAGATCTGAAAGACAAATCAGTGAAGTCAAGTCAAATGTACAGCTCTGAATCACAAAAAGTCTCAAAGGGCTTCACAAGCCCACAGTTGACAAATAGTAACAACATCCCCTGATCTTAATCCTCAGTGTGTAAGTATGTGTTGCAATAAGATGCATCTTAGGAAAGACTCACTCTCAATGCTACTAATGCAGTCTGACTGGTTCATATATCATGTTTACCCACCCACACTTACATGTTCACACTCTTCACACATAATGGTGTTGGTCAGCTCTCCAACAAAGATGCGGTCAACGAAGTTCATCTTTACACCTTCCTTTCCATATGCTGGTGGGATGAGACAGTGTGCATTTATTTTATTGTAATTGATTATTGTAATTGACTATTAGATGAAAATGCCACATTGAACCCACATTCACAGAGACAATGCACTTGTACACTTCAAGATTATAGCTTTATTTGTTGACGTTTTTTAAGACTAAATACTCATGCCCCAATTTGAAACCCAAAACTATGAAGCTTCGATTCATATGATCTGCCACTGCAGCTTTCAGATTTTGATTTGTAATTTTATTTTTTTTTTTACAGGGGAGCCATCATGTGTAGTAATAGGATTTCCTTGAACGGCCAGTAGATGGCACTATGGTTCTTAGTCCGTTCAGCATCACGAACCTTTGACTTTACGCCTGGTTTCCTCATTTGCCGTCTTCTCAGTGGGATTGTTAAAAGCCCTGAGGATTCCTGCCTTCACCCTCTGGAAAACAAATAAAATGAAACAACTGTGATTTCACATCAGATCCCTTGGAGAATTTAAACTTGAAATGTTGCAATCTAGTGACCATGGTAGATTCCCTTTGTGTTTCTTTATATTCTTTTAATTACATCCATTACAAATATATCAACTTCCCTGCAAACACTCTGCTTGACAGTTGTATTTATTATAAGCATCATTAGTAAAATAATTATTGTCCTTGTCTGAAATTGTTAAGATGAGGTTCATTTCTGTGTACTGTGTGTGTGTGTGTGTGTGTGTGTGTGTGTGTGTGTGTGTGTGTGTGTGTGTGTGTGTGTGTGTGTGTGAGAAAACTCTTTAGAGGGAGGGTTCCTCTGATTAAAGGTGACATGGTCAGTGAGTTGTTGGTGAGAGAGCTGTGAAGAGGCACAGCCACAGTAAAGCACCAATCAATACATAATTGGCCGTGGTCTGTGTCTGTATTTGAGACCAGTCACCCCCATTGTCCCAGGACCCACGCACTGGACTGGCTATTTAGGTCAAAAAGCCTTGTTAATCCCAGTCCAGCCAATCTCTCAGACCACTCAGTCAGCACAGCACAGTGAGACGAGGCTGAAGCTCTCCTAATTAATTACCAGTAACCCCCACCCTTCCTCTCCAAAGTAACAGCATGCGCGCTCCCACATGGGTAAGGAGAGGGGGTGGGCAGGATTGCTGGTAAAAGGGTGTAGGAGTGGAACCAAAAATGAAGATGGGGTGAAGAAGGACAGTCCATGCCCTGAGAGAGTAATAACTACCATCTCAGTTAATTGCTGATAATTGACTGGGGCCAGATTAGCATATTTAGCTCCCTGATACTAATGGCCAATGAACACAAACATTTAGGGCCTCTGAAAGGATGGTCACCGCCATCACTTTCTCATGCTCAGCTACACACAAGTCAGTATGCATTCACACTGTCCTTCAGTGTATGATTAAAACACTCCAAATGTTACAGAATATGTAAAAATTACCACAAACAAATGAACGATTACTAATTTGTGGAAGGAGTGTTTGTTGATTTTTGATGGCTCTTTTTTTTCCAGCAAAAAAATGTACTCCAAAATTGTGTGATCGTTTTAATTTAAAACACAGAAGAGTTGCTATTATGCCAGTGTATTTTGTGAACACGCCTGGTTGATTAAAAGCATTTGATTCCATGAATAAAGACTGAAACTCCGCCTCTATGCGTCCTTGATTAAATTGGATGATGAGTGTGTGTGTGTGTGTGTGTGTGTGTGTGTGTGTGTGTGTGTGTGTGTGTGTGTGTGTGTGTGTGTGTGCGTGCGTGTGTCAGGGAGGGGCTGATGGGTGACCCCCAAGCACAATGGGGCAGCCCCAGACTTCATTCAGCAGCTGTGGGTTTCCCAAGATCACACAATGATGCAGGCTATGCCACTTGCAAGTCCCTGAAGTGGCACAACTGCAAATGTTCACAAGTTTGAATGGGATCCGAGACAGTGCAGCCTGGGGCTGACCACGAAACACACCCGCTAACTTCCCCTGCTAGGTTCACGTAGCCACTGGTGGGGCAACTGGGAACATCTCAGACTTCCAAAAAGCGGCTTTGGGTCTGCTAATTACTCTGTGAAGAGTTTGGGGGTGGCAATGTGTCGCAGCCTTGCAGGCATACACGTGCACATGATCACAGGAGTACACACGATATTAAACATCAGATCAAATCTCTGATTTACAATGCAATAACAGGTGTAGAAAAAAACACAATAAAATGGGGCTGTTCTTTGTTCGTCAAAGAAAGGAAAGGTATTATAATGGATATTACTCACTTTAGTTTCCTCTACTCGTATGGAGTCCAGCAAATAGTGAAGGAGCTCCTGGCTGTCCTGTTGTTGATACCCCTTAAAGCGTGAAGCCCTAGTTAAAAAAAAAACAAACAAAAAAAACATTAATAAAATACATGAAACACAAATCAAAATAAGTTGCTTCAAATCGTTGTATACATATTTAATATGAACTGATTAGCTCATTCAGTACCGGCCAATTCTGGACCAAGTCTGAAAATACGTTTAAAAACGTCTTTGGGAGTGAATGAGTTAAACAGCTCTCCACTATTTAACATGAAATAATATTCAGATATTTCTATATGCAATCAGGTGTTGTGATGCTGTTGGTAATTTACACAATTACAGTTATAAAAACAATTTGTGAATATTGGGCTACTGTTTCTGCTTCATGACTGTCAGCCTTGCTACCTTGGAAGTCTGTGGAACATGTATCATTTGAAGAGACACACGAACGATCACCAATCCCATCGAGAGCATCAATACACTAGTTATTTATAAGATACAAGTACTCTACACACAAAACATGTAGGTGGCCTGTTGATGTATTTTTCTTGCTCGACAGTCATCCAACCTAAGCATTAATGCCTACGTGCGGAGAGGAAAGGCTCTTTTTGCATCCGTCCCCTGGCTGTCCACATTGAACAGATGTGAGGACAGATGTCAGGGGCATATGGACAGCAAAGGACAGAGCCACATCAACCTGTTGGGCCCAAATAGCCACATAACCAGAGGACAGGCTGGTCTCATATGCACGACACAAAGTGAAAAGCACAACACTTCTGGGTTAAGAGACCAACAGTCCGAGTGTTGGGCTAGTGTGTTAAACTTGTATGGTAAACGAGTCTCTTTAACACAAAGTCCTTGTGGTATGATACTTTATTTGGCAGCCAACAATCTGTGCTTTGCAGGAGGTCTAGTTTTGTCCTAAGTCAACTCCTCCACCCTTAAATACTGACACAATATTGATCCCTATCCGCGCATTCAAAAGAGAAAGGTGGGTGGAGGGGTAAATATTTGCAAGACCTAAAAAGCAACTGCATGCAATGAAATGTCCACCTCTTGTTTCATCATTCTTGAGAATGGAGTCAGACCAGAGTAAATGAAGAATATCAGAGTGACACAGAAGCAAAAGTGGGGAGGGGGGGGAGGGGGGGGAATGGAACAATTAAAAAAAAGAAAAGTTAAAAATTGGTTTGAATTAAGTGGCAAAGAGGAGGTCTGGAAGCTTGTCCCTATGGAGGGAAGCAGAAGGGCCCTGTAGCGTTGTTCTCAATCTGGTCAATGCAAACAGCTGCGGTGCTAACACAATTAATAGCCGGATGAGTTAGTACCAGACACAAGGCCACACAAGCTCATACCCTGAACACACACGTATGAGCAACATGCACCCGTAAACAAAGCAAATAATGAATTATTCCTGCACTTACTTACATGCGGACATAAACACTCAATCCCTTACAGTATGGTCACCGAAATATGCAAAAAGAAAATACAGAGATAGATATTGAGATATATTAAATAGTATAAATACATCAGTAGCAAAAGCCCTTTTTATCTTGCATTCCAGACTCAGCCAAAATATTGGATACACACATCAGTAAAAAGAAAACTTGCATAAATATTTGTATGCCAAATTTATTCAGAACATAATCCACCTAAACCAGATAAACAAGGATGCAGTAATTTGCAGAATTTCAATCAAGGGATGAATAAAAGTAACTTGCTAATTGAGTTAAAGAGATTTTGAGGAGATTTACTATACGGGTAGTTATGGGACGACGCTGAACATTTAATAAAAAAAAAAAAAAAAAAAAAAAAAACATTAAAAATGAACTTAGGCTTTGAATGGATAGGTTTTGGCTGGGCGGCAGATTGTTGTACGTGGCTAGTGCATTTGCTTCACAGTCCAGAGACTGTGGCTCCGAATCTTTATTCAGTCCCAACTCTGGCCCCCTCGTACATTCAAAAAATGCAAACATTTGAAAAGATTCCATTTGGCTACACTGTATTGTGCTTTACAATATGTGCATTTGCAGGTTTGCCTTTTGTTGAAACACAACTGTACTTTCAGAAGTGAGGGCTCAATTAAAAAGACTCTACAAAGAGACAATTTTGACCAAGACTTGAAATTTAGCAAAAGCACGCAAACCTATACTTATTTCAAACAACTGTGAATATCTTTCTTATCAAAACTGAAAGATGTCTTGCCTACTGCGCAGAAAAACATGTCCACCCAGCCTGATGCTGTTTGTAGTGCACGTCCGTGTTTTTGTGTGCGTGTCACAGCAAGAGATAGAATTTATTGTCATCTTTGGCTGTTTCCATCGAGCAAGTACATCTTCTCAAAAAGGATTGTAAACAATATTTTTCAAAGATGTGGGTGAGTTGACATTTAGAAAACAAAATACATACAAAGGAAATAAAATTGATTTTTTTTTCTCCCAACAGGATTAAGCGCACATTGGCCATCCTAAAATTTTAATCAGCCCAAGATGTCCAGTTTGTCCGACTTGTCATTAGACACTTAAGGGGTAGGACAATACAAGTGGTAAGACAGTCAAACTCACTTGAACAACAATTAGTTACACCTCAAACAAAAGAAGAGGGGTTTTTTTTTTCCTCAGGTGCATTGGAAGAAAACATTTGGCGCTTGACTGTTCCAACACTTTTCACAATTTGCCACAGGTGAATATACAGTAATCCCTCGTTTATTGCGGTTAACGGTGACCAAAACCACCCGCGATAAACGAAAATCCGCAAAGTAGCGACCAATTAACATATACAGTCAAACCTCGGTTTTCGAACGTCTCGGTTCTCAACCAAAAATTTTGAGTTTTTTATGCCTCGGATGACGAACAAATTTAGGTTCTCGAACGAACTGAGCGCACTTGAATGCACCATTTGACTCCTCTTGCCTTCCTTACACGAGGAAGTGACGCTTCCCCGTGTTGCTTTCCATTGTAAGCAGCCGTGTTCAGAAAACATTTTTATTTTAAAAAGAGCGTGGTTTCGGTTTTCGAACAGCCTTCTGGAACGGATTATGGACGAAAACCGAGGTCTGACTGTACAGGTTAAAAAAAAAAAAAAGGCGCGCAATACAAAATCTAACTTATATATATATATATATATATATATATATATATATAAAATAAAAAACATTTGAGGGGGTTGAATGTGGCATGTCAGAAATGAGTACTGAGGCTTAACACAATAACTTTCATTTCAAACGCATGGGAGTGGAAAAAATGAGCCCAATGTAAAATTAGTTACATTTGATTGCATACAGGTGGTTGCAATGCTTACTGTCTGAATGCACACAGGCTGCATGAGTGCTGTGGGCTGAAATGGTACCAGGTGAGGTTGCAGAGTGCGCGCGCGCTCGCGCTCGCGCACACACACACACACACACACACCCACACACCCACACACACACACACACACACACACACACACACACACACGAGAACAAATGCACACGCCTGCTCGCTGAAAGTTAGGTACCAGAATGAATGTCAAAGCCGCACCAGAGATGTACCAAGTCACCCAGCATCAAATATCCTGGTCACCCACCTGCACAATAGTGCAATACCAAACTCCTGCAATGTACCATGCTTAAACAAGAACCCAGCCCGGGCAACATGACCACAATATAAGACCAAATACTTTGTTGCAAATCCTTTGCTTAAAATAACCGCATCAAGCGTATGGCCCTTTGACATCACCAAACTTTTACAGTCTTCTTTTCTGCTTAATATCTGTATTGATGTGGACACCAGAAACAATACGTTTATATACATCCACAGGCGCCAGCATTAAACAATCATATGCACAAGTACTGTACCGTAAATATCAATTTGCTTATTTTTTTAAACAATCACACACGAAAAAAAGCAAGCAGTCTTCTTTTGTGATGTTTTCAGAGACTTTTACTACAACATCATTCTGTTTTCATTTGTTTTGGGAAGTTACACTTTGCAGTCTCCGCTTTCGAAGGCATGTATTCTGGAGTCGTATGACCTACCAGGTGGCTATCTGGCTATCCAAGGAGAAAATGGTCATTGTGAGCATAATTCCATCTTTAAATCCAAACAAGTGGCAAACCCTAAATAAATAAATAAATAAATAAATAAATACATTTTGACATCTTTAGGACAGGGAGAAATTTGAAATATATTGAATCTAATTGAAAACCAGTTGAAATTTAAAAGATTTAAGACCGTGCAGAAACCTTTTCTAAAGATTCTATTACTTGTGATGCATCCACATTGTGGGTGATTTATATTGTGATGGTTACATTTTAGAATGAGTATCAAGCAAAGTAGTAGACTGATACAGTGAAACTCCTCTACAACGAAACCTACATGAGCGAAAATACCCTCTAGTGTGAAAATATTTTCATGCATGAAAGCTATTGCCACTTTTCTGCTTCCCCTACAACGAAAAGTCCCCCTGTTCCATTATACGAAATCTTTTTCTCTGCTCTTGCCTCGCGATGAGATTCACTACAACGAAAACAAGTCTTCCGCAAAAGTCTAATCCAACATCAGCATGCCACAGCGACCTCTACTGCTTCGTTTGGAAAAGGCAACAGCAACCACCACACTGGTTTACACATGCACAGTAGCAGAGGCGATTGCTCTCAGGCTGCAAGGGAAGCTCAGCTTCCCATAAAATGTCAAAAAATAAGTGATCAAATATATGTGTGTATATACAATTGTGTGTACGTCTCATTGACTAAATATGTGCTCCAACGTACTCAACTTTTGTTCCAAATCAGCTTCTTATTACTGGTTACGACGCGACTCTCTTCTCATTCATTCCCGCAGCTTCACTGTGCTTTAAACTGTGTGGACGCTGAGCGTCTACAGCGCAGACGCTGGCCGTCTAGAGCAGGGGTCCCCAACCGCCGGTCCGCGGACCGGTACCGGTCCGCAGGGCATTTGGTACCGGGCCCCACAGAAAGAACTTGCCTTAATTCCGTTATATATGTCGCAAAATGAGTAAAAAAACTGCTGGAGATCGCAAATGACGGCGGCCTTAAAAGTATGTTCGAGACAACTGGATGAAAGTTATAGCTTAATATTCTGAGATCGCCACAGTAGCACTGTTGCTATTTCCGACATGCTACCTGTGTGAGGCGGGGGTTTTCTGCAGCAACGGCGACTAAAACAAAATTACGAAGTAGACTGGACATAAAACACACACTTGAGGTGTTATTGTCTCCTATTACCCCGAGATGGGACCGTCTGGTTGCAGAAAATCAAGCTTGGGGCTGTGGTGAGTCGTCATTTTCATGCACTTTGAATTTGCATTGTATCGTATTTTGAAGGCATTAAACATTACCATAGCGATCAGAGTGTTGCGGCCAGAGTAGACGCTCCTTGTGTTTATTATTATGTTTAGAAAACACCACAGTTTTCATGCAGCTCATCCCATATTATTTTGTTGTATTATTTCCGCCACACCTTAAATCCCGGTCCCTGAAAATATTGTCTGACATAAACCGGTCCGTGGGGCAAAAAAGGTTGGGGACCCCTGGTCTAGAGAGTTCGGAGCCCGTTGTCCCAATGCATTGAAACGAGACGAGTCATTGGATAAATGCTGGTTTTGTCTCGCCCATCGGATGCTCAGCGTCTCTGGGAGTCTATGGACAGTCGTCGTTTATCGGCTGGCCCGGACGCTCAGCTTTTCTACATGATGATTGAATGATCTGTCTGAGGCTGAATCTCTTTTTGATTGACAACGAAATGAGCCAATCACCGATCTTTTGGTGTAGGCATCCGTGGGAGCACTTTTCAATTCTCATTCTGTTCTGAGTTGAACTGGAGATGTCTTCTAATCATTTTAGCGACACTCTTTGTTGAAAAGGACGAGCGACAGATTAATCTTTTATTTCTGGTGTGTTTTATTGTAGTTGCTTGTGTTCGCAGACTGACTTATATCACCACAGTTAAGAAGAAAAGGGAGTAAGAAGAAGGAAAAAGGGGAAGGAAAAGAACAAGAAGAAAAGAAGGAAAGTGAAGAAGAGTGCCTTACTTCTGGCAGAGCTGATTAAAGAGGATCTTGGGATTAACTGGACCTTTTCCTGGTTCTTTCATGCACTGGAGGAAGAGAAGCATGGCTGCAGTCAGGGGCTCAGGACTGGGCAGCATTGCTACTAATGGGGCCTGCAAAAAAAAAAAAAAAGTCATAACCTTGCATTAACATAATTCCAAATTGGTTTTCACTAGGGTGTGCATCAGTCCAATAAAAGATGATTTGATACACATCTCGATCCATACAATAATACCAGTCAAGGACAGTTTATTCTTCAAGAGGAAGGATTCAATTCGGTTCAATTCAGTGAGATTATGATTAGATTCACTATGGTACTGCTCAGTTTCTTGTTATCATTCTATATACATGTAAATAAACACATACATCTCAATATCTGCTACTCGCTACAGCAAGCTGTTGTGTAGTACAAATATATACCGTTGCTGCCAGTAAATAAACACCGACCCAGTAACTTAACAATTAGTATTTGAAAAAGAATTCCAGAAGTCAAGAAGAGGACATTTGAACGTTACCAGATTGCTCTCAACTGGGGGGCAGATCCTTAGTTTATACCCTTTCTCCTTCACTTCCTGGATGAGGTCAATGAGCATATGAGTTTGGGACAGATTCTGAAAGAAATAAATTCTTATCATTTACATTTAAATCACGTCACGACACCCAATACTGGATATCCGCTCAACCATTCTTAGCTTGTTGCAATTCCATGTGGTCATTTAAAATATCCTTGTGAAATGTTGTACCGATGTACTGATGGTCATGTTCTCACGTGTTGCTTTAAAATGAAAGAAGAGTCTTGGTTAGGGGTAGCGAGTGTCCCATAAGAGAGAGAAGTATCTTTTCCGTTGCTATCAAGAGATTTGTTTGGTCACATCTTGGCAATGAAGACAGTTGCTATGGAAAAGGCACAATGGAGCTGGCATTGTGAATGCAGACACGGCTCATCCTCTAACAATTATATGTTTTCACCAAAAAGATTGCAGTTTTCAAGGAGAGAATACAAAAGAGAAAGAGTGAGCGAGCGAGAGGGAATAGCATTCTTACTCACTCGAATTTCTATCAAAGAGGAAGGTCCTAGGGGTGATTAACAAAATGGCAGAAAAAAGAGGTTCATTGTTAAAGAGGCATGTCAGTTTGCAGTGACCATGACACAACCAGAGAGAGACTAGGGAGGCTTCATGGTTGAATTGCATTGTGATCATGCTCTGCACCAACCGAAAGCCACTCATGTGTGGGCAGGTAAACATGTCCAAGTTTGCACTGCTTTTCTCACTGTTTTGAAAATATATCAAAGTGACCTCAAAAGCTGGCCTGTTTACGTGCAAAGTCATTTTAAAGAATTTGTGAGTGTTTACACATACTGTGAGAATGTAAAGAGAAACCAGGTCAAGACAAGACAGGACCAAACAAACATTCATCAAGCAGTGTTTCAATAACAAATTAACCTCACATGATAGTCAAACTAAATTTAATGATAACTTCATCATAATTCTTATGGTAACCACTGGTTTGGCCATGTCTGAAATCACACAAAAACACGTATGATGTCTAGATAGGTCATTTTTACTGTCTGTAAAAATTGGACAGATGACTTTAGCGCAGACCTGTGCAAATTACAGTCCACGGGCCCTACCAGTCTCCTGCCGGCCTTCACAGTGACCATGAAGATAAAATATGCTGTGATTTTGTTTTCTTTTTGCCTATGCACTAAACAGCAGCTCAGACTACCCAACCTTTTTGGAGTCCTTGGAGGGTGTGCTGGAAGGCGCTCCCAGTAGGGACTCCCTCGTTCTGCTGGGGGACTTCAATGTTCACTTGGGCAATTACAGTGAGACCTGGAAGGGCATAATTGGGAGGTATGCCCCCCCCCCCTCGATCAGAACACAACTGATGTTTTGTTATTGGACTTCTGTGCTTGTCACGGATTGTCCATCATGAACACCATGTTAAAACATAAGAGTGGAGGAGTTTTAGTCTCTTGGGGTCTTGTTCACGAGTGAGGGCAGGAGGGAACGGGAGATCGACAGGCGGATCGCTGCAGCGTCTGTTGTGATGCAGACTTTGTATCGGTCTGTCATGGTGAAGAAGGAGCTGAGCCAAAAGGCGAAGCTCTCAATTTACCAGTCGATCAAGGTTCATACCTTCACCCATGGTCACGAGCTATGGGTTGTGACTGAAAGAACGAGATCCAGATACAAGCGGCCAAAATGAGTTTCCGCCGCAGAGTGTCGGGGCTCTCCCTGAGAGATAAGGTGAGGGGGTCAGTCATCTGGGAGGGGCTCAGAGTTGATCCGCTTCTCCACGTGGAGAGGAGACAGATGAGGTGGTTCGGGCGTCTGATTAGGATGCCTCCTGGAAGCCTCCCTAGTCAGGTGTGCTGTGCATGTCCCACCGGCAGGAGGCCCCAGGACATGCTGGAAAACACCTGGAAACGCCTCAAGATCACCGGGAAGAGTTGGAAGAAGTAGCTGGGGAGATGGAAGTCTGGGCTTCACTGCTAAAGCTGTTGCCTCCGCGACCCGACCCCGGATAAGTGGTTGAAAATGGACGGATGGATGGATGGATGGAAGTAGAGATTTCCATGTTGGCTTGGTCTTTAGCAAGCATCGCAGTTTCTTATGTGGCCCCTTTGCAAAATTAATTGCCCCCTGCTTTCAGCCAAGGTAAATACTGTATTTGATCTTTGTGTTCGGCATGGTTGTCAACCGGTTAGCGTGTCGGCCTCACAGTGCAGAGGTGCAGGGTTCGATTCCGGCTCCGGTCTTCTTGTGTGGAGTTTGCGTGTTCTCCCGTGCCTATGTGGGTTTTCTCCAGGTACTCCGGTATTCTCCCACATTCCAAAAACATGCGCGGCAGGCTGACTGAACACTCATAATTTGTCCCGAGGTGTGAGTGTGAGCGCGGATGGTTGTTCGTCTCTGTGTGCCCTGCGATTGGCTGACAACCGGTTCAGGGTGTCCCCCGCCTACTGCCCGAAGACAGCTGGGATTGGCTCCAGCACGCCCCGCAACCCTTGTGAGGATAAGCGGATTAGAAAGTGGATGGGTGGGTGGATCTTTGTGTTGCTTTTTTAAATTTGACTCTGCCCTCTCAAAGTAAACCATTCTCAACCCTCGCAGTTGAAATGCAGACTAAAGTAAATTGTAGACATCAAATTGTGGAGAACAGTGATGTTTTTGCAAAAGTAGTTTAGAAATGTACCAACCTGCATAACAGCATTAAAGAAGCAGGTGTTGCCAAGGTTATTGATGCCTTTAACAGGAACGAAGCCATTGTTGATGAGTGAGCTTTTGCCTCTTGAGGGGTCATGACAATCAGAGGGTTCCTCCCTCAATTTCGGGATCTTGATCGATGTTGCTAGAACATGAGAAGACATAAAAATTGACATGATTCCAGAAAATGGTGCTATCATGTGAATTCCAACCTTCTCACTCTCACTCTTACTCTCAGATAAATAACCCAAATTTGTTCATTTTCAACTCAGGCGCTGATTTATTATAGAAGCATCCCAACAGTAATGAACCTGTTAAGCAGAATGGGTTGGTCAGTTTAACCCCCAAAAATCATTTAAATATTTCACCTACAATTCTGGGTAGGCCTCTCACTATGGAATATTTTTGTCATTTATTATTTTATTGATTAATCACAAAAAATACTTAGCAACAAAACTAAACTATATCCACCATGTCTACTCTAAAAAAAAAAAAAAAAACAATAATTTCAAAAAAATAATTTTGCGAGGAGAATAACGGACTGTGCAGGACTTTTCAATGTTTCTCCGAGTATTTGTGGCCTGAAATTGAATGACAAATTTTAAGCGCTGACATGAAAAAAATACTTTCGAGGCCCATCCCATAGTTTTTGGAATTTGAAGGTTCAGCTTGGTGAGATGCCAGTCTGTTGCCGCACTCCGTTAAATAGTGCTAATTACATCTGCCCCCCTGTGCTGGCAACATCTGGAGTTTCCAGCAATTCCATGGAGCCATAAGGGAACTCCCATATGTCAGAACAGACAGTGTGGAAGTAGGGAAGTAGCCAACATATAGTGCCTTCCCAAACTGCATTTGACATTGAAAACATGTGCAAGTGAGAATTGAACAACAGTGAAAAGACAGAGCATCTCTTCCAGAATACGAATCAGAACCTACTGTCCTTTAAAGGGAAATTAATGTTACAGCAGGAGCACAAAAAGGACAAGGCACACACTGACAAAATAACACAATAGATATTTTAAAAAGGAAAACCCAAACTTAGCCCCCACCCCCCCAAAAAATAAATAAATAAATAAAAACATTATAAGAAGCAGATTATTTATCTATCTATGGTGTGTGTTTGAGAATGAAGGTCACAGAGTCAACAGCCCTAACGCAGCTTGAGTCAAAGAGATGCGACTGGCACTAGCTGAGTGGGAGGAGAGGGATGAGGAAACTAACTGGGCGGAATGGGGATGCCTATGGACACACACTGCATCTGGGACCATCACCCAAGGTAAACAATGTTCACGGAGCCATCTGGTTGAGACTGGGTGGGGGAGCTGCGGGTTGGGGGGGCAGCGGAGGACAGTTGAGGGGTGTAGTGGGTGGAGGGAAGGGTTGCAATGAGCACAAGCATATGGAAAAGCAGATTTTTCCTCTCCCTGCAGCAATCAACGATGGCAAATGTCAGCATGCGCTACGTCCACGCTTGACTGTGCTGCACTAAGCACAACCACCTGGCTCTTCTTGCACAGCCAACGAGTACGGGCAACAGGAGCAGTTCGAGATGAGCCTTTCCCCAGGGTGGAGAAAAGCAGTACGGTACGCGCACTCATCCACATGCACGCATGTACAGCAACACCTCTTGCACTCCCTTGCTCGTCCTTACACAAGAGATATCCAAAGAAACATAGGGATTGTTTACACTTTGAGAAAAATTGGATTAATAAAAAAAAAAAAAAAAAAAAGGAAAATTAAGAAAGCAACACATCAGTGACCTTGGAGCACTCTAATATAATTCCGGGGAAAAAAAGGACTCAGTTCCCAAAGACACTCCAGCATTTTGTCAAGAGTCTTAACAGAGGAGCAAATGCTTTTTTTAGCAGCAATGGGAGAGCAACATTTTCTTCCTTTTTCACTGCTGCCAAGTTCAGGGATGAATAAGGAGTATGTATGGACAGCATATTTCTCAATTACTGCAAACAATTCATCAAACTAAGAGCAAATGGAAAAATAAAGTAGAGATGCGCTTTGTATGATTCCTGATATGACAATCTAATCGTTTGGCCAGTCAGGTTTATGCTTCCATGTTTGCTTACAGTGCAGCAGAGCAAAGCCAGCTCCTTTCATGCAGAGCAAGCAGTCATGAGGAAGGACGAGCAACACCAAATGTCTTATTAATTCACTAATTTGTTGTGACTACAGGGCATAAAAAGCTTGCTTCCTTGCCATCTGAGGCCAGACGAGCTCAGTGACGTTTTACTTTCCATACACATGCCAATATATTAAGTGCACCTTGGTGAAATTAATGCTCAGTAAAGTGATTTTTGCTTACACTGACTGATTCAAAAAGAAGACTTATGATTGAATTTGGGAAGACTATATTTGACTGTAGATTTTTATGGATTGTATGGAAGACTGTATGGCAGTAATCATATACAGACAAACCAAAAAAAAAAAAAAAAAAAGTGCACACACTGGCCTACTTTCATGTGCAGTGGTGGGAATTAAGACAGGATCACCCTTGATTACCTCCATGAACACACCACCAGGGAACAAGCATTTTGTTGGCCAATGACTCGTCTAGACACATTAAGTAAGGACAAGTCATCCGTCAGACAGTCAATGCTAACAAACATATCACTCCTTGGCACACTTATCCAAAATAGAAACTTGATGGACACTGATTGTAGGCTACTTGACCACTGTATCAAATGCGGAAAAGCAGCAATTATTCCAATTAAACAATATGAAATCAAACTTAAAAAAAAAAATGTTGAACATTTTTTTACTCAAAGAAAAAGTAATAGTTTACAAGTCCTGAAAGGTACAATTGACTAAGGGTGGGGAAAAACACACATTAAACAAAGCAAGTATGACTCCAAAAAAGTCTAAGTAAATATTTATAATATATCATTTGGAAGTGAGCGTTTTTAAATCTAAGAACAGATGTTTTCTATAATTAATACCGACCAAGTATAATTCATAAAATAACATTCACACAGTTGAGAGGAGAGTAATTATTCACTACTATAAATACCATGAAACAAGACGGAATTACAGGATTACAGTGGGAAATGTGTTATGTCTCCTGAGAACCCATTCATTTATTTCACAAAGACACCCCAGGTGCATTGTAGGACAGAGTCGAGCTCCCTGAGGTAAACCGTCCTTTTAGTGGAATTCTGGTGCTTGAGCCAAAGACCTTGATGGTGAGAGAGCATAGTTAATCGACTTTTAGTCTTCAATGAGCTGTTGGAACAAATCATTGTGGATTCTGAAAAACATCCATGCTTGGGCTCCTTTGTGTTTTGGGGAGCATGGGAGAAGCACAACAACATCTCTCTCTAAAAATCTGGCCTTCAGACTCAAATGCAATTTTACAAGCTCCTCAACCGACAACAACAGTCTATTTTGTACAATAATGGCTGTCTATTTCTATAGCCATTTGGCCAACGGGTGTGGGACAATTGGGTGGTCGGAAGGGTGACAGGTAATTGATAGAGTCAAAACAGTAGGTAGGCTAATCCACCTCAGTTAAAACATATAGCTGGGTTAGCATAGAGCCACGAAAACACCAGTCCACAAAGGTCCTTTAAATTTACATGCTACACATGCCAAGTGCTAGTCCAACACGTTCTTTCTTTGTAATGATAATTTTGTATAATAAAAAGAATCCAAATGAATATAGGACACAATTTTTAGATGTTTTGTCTAATAAGTGAAATTTGCCAATTTGCCAAACAACATCAAAAGAACTTAAAGTGCTTCTTGTCTCTAGTGTCCTGTTTGTTGTTTGTTCTGAAAAATTGGTGTTCCTTGACGCCTTAGAAGGAACAGCATGCTATATACACGTTTTAATAAAATAATGCACAATACATCATGTTAGTCATGTACTTGGCAAATATTTTTTTTAAATCTGTATTGTTGGAGGCTGGGAAAAAGTACATTATTTTCAGTTTGTGAGTGAAAATTTTAGCTCAGTTTGGAATGTAAAGCAAATGTGTGATATAGTTCACAATTAAATAATGACAATGAATGTTCTCCTCAGCAAAATCTCAATGTAAGTACACCAAAGAGTTTGTGCACTCCAGCTGTGGAGAATGATCCAGTTTCTCTAATTTGATCAGGACTGTGACTCCTACTAGTGCTGCACACAGGCCCAGAGGTGGCAGGACAGAAAACAGAACAAGGGACAAGCGACAGAGTGAGAAAGACAATGGATAACAGAGCGGAGGCCGAACCCCTCACAGCTGCTCACATTCTTCAGGGAACCCAGCCGGGAAGCATCACTCAAGCGCCTAATTCCACTAACGTGTGCACTCATGCGACAAGTACAGAGAGAGTGGGAGACAGTTTTAGCATCAATCCTGCAACTCTTCAGCTGTGGTTGAGCGACTGACTCAAGACCAGCCCCAATGTGCATGGCTGGCTAGTGTATGGACACTGGTTAATGGACACCGTAGTATTTGCATGACAAACTGTGGGCATGTAGAACCATAGGACAGAGCTCCTCAAATACAAATCTTAGGGTCGACACACACTTCAAGATGCTTCAAACTCGACTTGGGGTGGACCATCGAAAAAAAATGAGTTAGCCACTCATGCCAATGCCGTGGCTGATTTCGCTTGCCATGAAAAAGTATTTGCCGCCCAACTGATTTTTGTTTAGCTTTTTTTTTTTGCATATTCATCACACACAAAGGTTTCAAATAATCAAGCCAATTTTCCAAACCACTCAGACCCTGTGTGAAAAAGTAATTGCCCCCTGTTTGCGAGAATTGGTGACGAGTCTTTCACATACCGTATTGGCCCGAATATAAGACGGTGTTTTTGCATTGAAATAAGACTGAAAAAGTGGGGGTCGTCTTATATTCGGGGTCTAGACATTATACCCATTCACGACGCTAGATGGCGCCAGATATCATTGAAGCGAATGCTGAACTTGACTCCCCAGGCCAAAGTGAACCCCTGTCACGAAGAATAAAAATAAAAATAGCGGTAGCACGAAGAAGAAAAATAAAAAATAGCGGTAAGAAAGAAAAGAGAAGAAAATAATAGAAGAGATAACAGAAAATGGAGAAACGTAGCGACAATCTGGAGAAAAGTGGCTCGAAGATCGGCCAGGTTAACCGGCAGCTGAGGAGAAGTTATGATGTCATTTACATTTCAAAAACCAGAAGCCATTCATTTACGAATGTGATGCACTTTAGTTTACATATTTAAATGTTCAGATATTAAGATTTGAATGAGGCAAAATAACATGCTTTTTCTCTCAAATATATTGTTATAATCATTTGTTTCAGATGTACTGTAATTATTTTCTGTATAAAAATTTATTTGGTGTTCAAAAAGTATTTTTTCAAACTTGAGTCTTGAAAAAGAGGGGGTACACACACACACACGCACACACATTTCAATTGAGGAATACTGACAATCAACCACCAGGGGGGGCAGTTATACTGCAGTGCAGTCTTATGAGGCTGACTGCATCTGTCAAATTTAAACCTTTTTGAAACCTTTTTAAATTGAATGAAGAATGTGGAACAATGTAGCAAATCAAAATGTGGCATCAGCATCATGAATTATTGTTCGTCAACTCTGGAAATCTGTTCCGCATCTTGAAACTATCCAGTGACTGTCATATTTATAGTACAGTATTAGGAACATTAATTTTACTTATATAATTGATCTAGAATGACTGCATTTGATTATGAATATACAGTAGATTGTCATTATTAAAAGGTCCTTGTCTTTAATTTAGGGCAGGGGTGTCAAACATACGGCCCGCGGGCCGGAACCGGCCCGCAAGGAGGTTCAATCAGGCCCGCAGGATAATTTAAAAGTGGAAAAAATGCATTAAAGACACAGAATTAATATTTTGAAATAAGGTGAAATTCATTGAGTATCCGCAAGGGGACACTGTTTTGATCAGAGAAGAAGACAACAGCAGCCTCAGTCTGTCACTGAGACAGACCCATGACAGCAGACGCTATCAATAGCACTGTCACATTTACACATTTAATAGCACTCTCCTTAGTTTGTAAAGTGTAGGCAGGGATTACATTTAGATTTTATATGCACGTGTAAATGGTTTAAAACTTCCTTTCTTGATAAATCTCGTTTAATCTTCAAGTGCATCACTATATTTTTCAATACCAATTACTTGTTAAAGTTTGTACAATCAGTGGGATCAGTTGCAATGCATATATGTGAATGATAAAAGTAAATTGCACATTTGTCAAAGGAAATGTAAGGTGCTTCATGAAATGTTTTGTAAAAGATATGTTCATTAAATTTCAACATTTTCCTAATGTTCTTGTGCTTCTTTATACCAAAACAAAGGAAAGACATATTGTTTTGGTTATTTATAGCAAAGTATGGTATCATTTTAATGGTCCGGCCCACTTGACATCTACCGAGGCCGTATGTGGCCCACCATGTGAAATGAGTTTGACACCCCTGATTTAGGGGCTTCTTCCCATGTTTGAGTGGTGTCTGTGAATACATTTGACAGAGACAAGTTTAGCATTGATGAAAGTGCAACAAGCTTGTTTGTAATTATGTGCAGGTCCTACCTGATGTCACCTTGACAGAGTGCTTCTGTAGAAATTCCAGAGTCTGCGCCAACGCCTTTTTGTTACAGTGAGTGGAGAGCTCCTCATTACATTCAAAACACCTGTTAAAAAGGGAGTAGTCAGACAGAAAAACTGTTACTGAACTACTTTAAAATTCAATAACCCAGGCCTGAGGATTTCAGAAATTAACAGAAACAGTTTTTCGGTTCCATTAGATTATCCAATGGGAAACCACTGTAACTAATTTGGTGTTCCGTAAATGTTCATCATGGGAACCTATTTTTCTATTTTGACTGATATTCATAATCAAGAATTTTGATACTCAAAAGTATAATCTGCAAGGGGCAGATGTTTGAAAACTACGCATTAACAAATTAACATAATTACATCAGCAGCTGTGTACTCCAGGTTTATTCAATAGAATAATTGGATCAAAATATGTTGTTTAACACTTTTATTGTACTCATTTGGCATCATGAATACAGCATACCACAAAATCAAAGTATTTTTTTCCAGTCTCACACTGCAAAGATTAACTTGCTGGTAATCATTAATATATAAATCATGATGAAATACTATGGCCATCAGTAACACATATGTGTACACAATACTTCAGTCCTGGCTATATACCATGGGCCACAAGTAAACCTGACACTGTCAAGATGATAATATGTGTGTGTGTGTGTGTACTATTGATGTAAATAAACATATCAATTGCTACTCACCTCCTTTATTAATACAAAAGCATGTAATAGGAATTGAATGATTAAAATCATGTGATGAGTCTTTTAAAAATGACCTTATTACGATAGATAGACTTATAGTATTGATATGGTTTGACGTCCTCTTTGCAACCCCAAGATGATGCACTGTGTAATCTACTCTCAATTCGACCAAATAATCTACCACACGTCATTGTTAGGCCTACCGACAGTTAACATTAGTATTACTACACCTTGTGCCGAATGTTTTATTCATAAAGTGACCATGTCTACAACTAGTAAATTAGAAAATAACTAAGACTGTTTAATAATATTTTTCATAGCGATTAGCCTTTAGATCTAATGACCAACTTCAAGTACTTGCCTCGGAATCGTGCCTCCCGTCGTATTTCTCTTTCGTGTTTTGTGCATACATCACATGTCATCTTGGTAATATGCCCTTCTTCGGATGATTCGAAAGAAATATATCCGACTGGCATTCCCATTTCTTAAATGTAGTAACTAATACACCTTTCGGGTTTTTTTTCGCCGCCATCTCTGTCCATCATCCACGCGCTTTCTCAGCGTGCAGACTAAAATAGCAACCCGCATGCGCACATAATGTTTCCTGTTCTGCCCCCCCCCCCCAATCACTTAATAAAAACAAAACGAAAGTAGAATAGAAGAAAAGCACTGACACTCCACACCACAAGCACATATTCAGGCACAGTGAAATCACGATCACACAGGAAAGATTGTATCGCGTACAGTCAACTAGTGTGCAGTGATTTTTATGGGAAATGATTTTTCGGTACCATACAAATGATCCCACGGAAACGACACGCTACCGGAAATGATCGTTACCGTGAAATCCTCAGGCCTGATAACCCCCACATAAATGTTTTCAAAAGCATTGATGAAGAACAGCTAAACTTGTCTCAGCGGACACAAACTAAAACAACAAATACAGAGAAATTTCCAAAGAAACTGCAACAACGAAAGATGGCATTTTCAGTACCACATTTTGTATACCGGTAATTTGTCATGAAGGTTGAAAAAAAGTCATTTCGATCTTGTAATTTGGAAGGTTTCTCACCAGGCTTTCCAGGTGCTCAAGCTTATGGTGATGCAATGAGACTCGGGATGGAAATCTCGGTGGTGCTTGACAGCATGTTCAATCCCTGAGTGGTTACAGCCCTGTAAAAAGTATACGCTGCATGTTATTAAAATTATAGCACAGAAACAACACTTCCATACAGTAGTATGAAGATCTGCTTTCATTCTTTCTTTGTAGCAGATCTCAAGCGGCATCATGTAGGATGCACAGCCAGTTCCAGATTCTGATTTGAGTACGGCTAAGGGAAACTCAAGGACATTCACAGAGCTGTCCTGAAGCCACCTCTTTGATATCTTGGCTGTGTGCCGAGGGTCACTCCACTCTCGAGTCAAATAGGTTTTCATCCAGGATGTCTCTTTAAACTGCTGAATTCCTTACTCTTCCTGACAAGTCTCCAAATTCCGGCTGCTGAAAAACATGCATCATTGCGGGCATGGCCTTAGCCTTACAAGATGACATGTTGTCTAGCACTCACAGTTTACAGTTCAATGTTTGTCTAATCTGACCAGAAAATTTTGTTTTTCATGGTCTCAGAGTGCCTCTGGTTTCCTAGGAAAACTCCAGATGGGCTGTCATGAGGCTTGTACTGAGGTGTTTTTATATTATTATTATTATTATCATCATCATTATTATTATTATTATTATTACTATTATCATATTTGTGTTTTAAGCAATAAAAGACAATAATGGAGACCGGACCGATCAACATTTTCGCTCTTTTTCTGACATGCTGTAAGTTAAACTCGAAGCATGTAGACTTCAACTTAGAGTACTGGGACCTAAATTTGAAATCCACTAAGGCCCACCAAAACTTTACGTCCCCACACTGATCAGCACATGAGACCACAATCAATAATTCCAAATAATAACAGTGCTCCATATATACTGTATTTGCAAAGCAGTGTGCATAAATCGTGAGTGGAAAATAAGGAATGCTTTGTTTTGATTCTTAACCATTAAAATACAGGTCACTAACAAATTAAATATGAAGGCCGTAATAGCAGCCTGAATTTGGATTGTCCCACACTAATGCAGGAGTAAAGTCATTGCTCAAAAACTTGTAGGCTATAAATATAAACTAATCGAATGAAAAACAGTAAGCGTAGCACTAACCGAGTTCAGTGCACGCTAGTCATAGCAACTAAACGGCATATGTTGAAACTTTCAAAAACAGAGAGTCCAATCTCCAGTAATTATGTCTCTGAGGCCATGTTCACACTGCAGGTCAATTCCGATTTTTTTGCCCATACCTGACATGCATCTGATATTTTCATGTTAATCTGAACAGTACTATTCAATTTTTTTCAAATCCAACCCAGCCCCCTTTCCTTGGTGGACATAAAGTAAATCGGATATGCATTCAATGTGACTGCAGTATGGACGTCCGGGTAGCACTCATTCAACCTTCGTGTCCTCGAAAGACAACCAATGTCACAATCATTCAACGGGACAAGTGCAAAAAGAAATGGACCGAGGAGCCGAAAATGGTCAGTGGCAAAAAGAAGACGCTTTAGAAGTGGGAAATATATAGGGGGGACTAGTCAGTCTCTCCAGTGTGTGTCTGATGGAAATCTTACTTGGAAACCACACTTGAGGCAAACTAAGATGTCTTGAAATGCTGCTGGCTCACTCTTGATCATGGTTCTTTCCTTCAGGCACTCAGAACACACCAACCACAAGCTGGACAACACAGATTTCTTCACCAAGCTTAAGTCCACTGCCTTCGTCACATGTTGGCAAGTCAACCCTGCATCAGAAACGTAGAACATGAAAATAAACTTTGAAAAACAGACAAAAATTAGCTTAAAATCACCTGAAATTATCGACTACTATACTCTTTAATATTATCAGTTTTCTTTGGCGTTTTATGAAGCCACCACAGAAGGGTACTCGGTGTGATAACCATAGAATCAGAAATGGCATGTATTGCACTGAGTAACCGTACTTTGTTGCAGTAAAAGACAATTTTCTTCACTATAAAATCATTGTACACGGATTCAGAAAAAAAAAATACAGGTATAAATAAAAAATATAAATCACAGATGTATGCAGGTACCTAGATGCTTATAAAAAATTATATTTCATGTCTAACTAATGTTAAAAATGTATGTACTGTTGATAAAAAGTACCTTGTTTCAAAAAATTGTTTGCACCAAGTCATGCGCAAATGCGCATGCTGAGCGAGTCTGCATGCCCCACCCCCGCGGGCCACTCCTATTCCCACCCAGCTCTGCTGCTCCATCCTACCAGGCACCCTTGGCAGCAACTCTATACAAGCACCGGACCCTTCACGCGGAACTCACCAGCTGGGGTGCCCAGTAGGACCCCACGGTGGTGGCCATCACCCTCCACTAGGTCGGCTGTCCTTCTCGGGCCATTTCGGTTGCATTTAAAGGTTTGCTGAACTTTGTTTAAAAAAAAAAAAATATATATATATATATATAGGGTTTTTTTTTTCTTTTTAAACAAGCCAGTCTTCTGCATAGTGGAGTGCTTGTCATTTTGAATCAGGTGTGTGGGAGGAGGGAAACATCTTAAACTTGCAGTATACCGGCTCTTGCAGACCGGAGTTTGACACCTCTGACTTACACTATACTGTAAACATACAGATTGTCCTTACATGTCCATTAAATGCAGCTTTGTGTCTGTCATGTATATTTTTTTCCCTCTAAACAAAAACACTAGGGTAGCCCTTCAATGGGTGTTCAATAACATGCTTTGTGTATGAATTGTGTTGCATGAGTGTATTTTCTTGAGGTTCTCAAAAATAAAGTTCTCTTGTGAAAAGATCCTGTTCATAGGTTTGATATGAATAGACTGGATGAAAAGTAACTCATTGTAAATTTCACACACAGCAAAAAGTTCATGAAATTAAAAAGCAGAGGTTAACATGATTTCACCCCAAAAATATCTCCATTTAGCTGCCTTTTTTTTTTTTCAAGAATCAAAATTGAGAAATGTTAGGAACTGGAATTGAATCAAAGAACCGTAATGGTCCAAATTCAAACAAGGCCCAACCCTAGACCAGAGTATCATAATTTCACTAACATTGGACCTAAGGGTGCCAAATTCACAAAAACCAAAAGCATCAAAAAATGTCACCGTACCCTACTAAAAACAACAACTCCTCTACAATGGTGACACTAAAATACATAACATGTTAACAAGGCATTGCAACAAACTCTTTTTTTTTACCACTACTTTCGAGTACTGTACATTTCATTTGCTGAAAAGTGAACTGATCAACCAAATGATAAAAATGACTCATTTGTTTGCAGAATCATTTTTTTCATTGCATTAATCAAATATTCATTACATTTTGTACCCAAAACCCATTAACAGTAGAATAAGCATCACCACTGATCAGTTATTTAAAAAAACAAACAAACAAAAAGAGAAAAAAACAAATGTTTTCCTGAAGTGACTTACCACTGACTTCATCTGATGATTCGTCATCTCGAGGTTTTCGGGGTTTATTTGTCCGCTTAGTCATGTTGGCGGCTGTCAAGGGCAGGGGCTCCTTAAGACGCATTTGGAACTCTGCAGGTTAAGATTGACATTATGACACAAAACAAGCACATTGTACTAAATTGCTGTTTTCCCCTTGCCATTAGGGCTGGGTGATTAATTTTACAGAGTATTTCACGCCAGGATGGTTTTTATTTCTCTATATATATATATATTCAAAGTGTATCCCCACTAACATGCGCAGCTTACGCTGACATCATAGTGCAAGCAGAGTGGAAGTGATTTACAAAAGTATAGTCAGTGTGAAAGCATTTGTGACTTTGTTGCGATATTTAGTGAGTTTTCCAAAATCTTTAAGTGACTATTTGTCAGGAAGAAAAAAAAAGCAACTAGTGACTTGAATTCCTGTTAATAAACATTGGTATAACATGAGTGTAATCATTTCAACTATAGGTTATATATGACAAAAAAGGAGTAGGATATTGTGGAGCCAATTGCGCTTGACAGGGCCAAAGACAGTGTCCATTTATACACTGCAAAAACAGTGCATTAGTAATATGTTGGAAACTTGACTGACTGACTGACTGACTGACAGTATGTGCATCCATGCCGCATACAGTATATTGTGCAGGGGTCACCTGCTTGTGGTATATTTTTTTTTTCGCAAAATACAGATAAATGGAGCCAGGGAGCCAGACAGGTCATTTGATGTTGTATTGTTGATCATTTTTTCTGTTTATTTATTAGTAATCATGTCTACATACGTGTTTTGACAAATATGATTTTTTTCAAGAATAAAAGGGATTCAGATGATAGATGGAAACATTTAGTATGATGTTCTAGAGAAAAAAAACAATATAATTTCTGTATAAATTGAAAAAAGCTAATGTTCGGAAATAATAGTGCACAAAGAAAAAAAAATATTTCAGTGAAGTGGTGGGTAGATTTTTGGGAGAGAGGAAAAAAAACCTGCAATTCATATGGAAAAACCATATTACCCAGCCCACTTGTCATGTCAGACAACAAAAACAATGTGTAGAACTTGTGATTGGTACATAACATCCACCACAGCAATTTATCTCTTGACTCATTGGGTGTAATCCAGCATTGTGTTCATTTAAACATACGCACGATGAATCAAAAATACTTCAATAAAATAGAACATTTAAAAATGTAACTAATTAAAGAATCTTCCTAGTTAATCCATGATCACGGCGGATATCTGGATTATATTCAAGATATACTGCATTAAATATTACTTTCTGTTAGGCTAGAACATACGTTTAATTTGTGGCATTCACCAAGTGCTTCAGAAAATAAGGTCACTTAGCGATCCTAATTAGCAGTTTGAATTAAACTCAACTCAACTGTACTTGTAGAGCACTTTATAGAACTTATAGAACCACCGCTGTATACAATATGCTGTACATAGGGCAAAAATAATTCATACAGCAACAAACAATAAAACAACAAATGAATAAAGACAGCAGAAAGCACAAAAACAGTAAAACCAAAAATCAAGTCTCATTCTGAGTCGAAAGACAAATAATGAGTTTTAAGACGCGTTTTAAAGCATATAATAGACAAGATTAATGCCCAAGATGTACGAAGTGATCCTTTGCTTATGAAACTCGGGATTCATGAGAACGAAGTCTTAAGGAACTCACCTCTTTATTTTTTTTTGTGTCCCAATGATGGACAGTGTGAGCAAAGACCAGTGATGCTAACTTCCCTTGGCTAGCAAATAGGCGAGCCTCAAACTTCCGCCACAAATAATGCAACTAATACAACTGTTTTCTTTTTATATGCTTGGAAACAAAGGTATTGAGAACTAAAGCCGAACACGTGGAATAACACGAAAGCAAGACACGTGCACTGTTAACCTTGACTAAATACTGCCAGAGTTTATAGCATCAACTAGCAACCCAAATACGTAAACATGTGACGCAGCCGGAAGCAATATGGCAATCTGTAGTGTTGTATTCAATGCCCATCAGAAAAGCGGAAGTCTCTGTGAAAGTCGTTTGACCGTCTCACCAATTTTAAAGATTTGTAAAATGGGCGGAAAAGTAAAGAATAATTTGATACGCGTTTCATTCAAACGTTCTCATTCAAGCGCCAACCCATCAAGTTACTAGCCACATTTGTAGAAATGCGCAGTGGCTGCTCTGAGTAACACTATCGTTTAATTTTAGACTTTTCTGTATTTCGAGATTATTTAACAAATCATATCATGCACTATTTTAGTGCGCACCCAGTTACATAGTGCATATGTAACGGTTTAAACTTGTAAGGATCATAAATTGTGTGGCGCGTTCTTCTATTTCAACAAAGTTTCTTTGGTCCTCTACGCGATTCGTACTCTGCACGCGTGCGCATGCTCAGCTCGCAGTTAAGTAATGTGCTTGCATTTTGTAAGAGAAATTCGTCTTTTTATAGACGCTGCTTATTGCATATGGCTCTCCGAATGTGCGTGAGATTTTCCAGAGTCGCCCCACGACTATTGTGGGACAGTAACGCCCTTCATCGTGCCTTGGTCCCAAGCAGCCGAATCCACCTGGCAGGTCTTGTCAACATTCAAGGTCTTGACACAAGTGAGTGTCCTGTTATGCGTTGTCAACAGGGGAGAGTTAAAAAATGCTTAATGTGCGTGTAAAAAAAATCTTAACCTGTGTCAATGTTAGAACACTACGACCAACTGCCACCAAAATTCATGTGCACATCTCGTCGACACATGCCCATTGATCTCCGAAAATATGGACAGTTGCCTCAGTGTTTTGGATTTCATGAACACTAAGCGGGCGGCTCTGTGATCCAGTGTTAGCGCGTCGACCTCACAGTGCAGAGGTTGAGGGTTCGATCCCTGCTCCGCCCTCGCTGTGTGTAGTTGAGATAGGCTCGATCATTTTGATATTTTCATTGACGTGGGCATAGTTAGTGATGTCCACGTGAATTTTGGTGGCAATTGGTTGTAGTTTTCTGACATAAAATCACGCTGAGCTGTTTTTTAGAGAAGAGGAAAACACTTAATGACGATAAAATGCAAAATATAGGGGTGATTGTTTTTATATTTTCAGAGATTGTTGTGGGTACGGATGGACCTGTGGGCATTAATTTGGTGATGATTGGTTGTCTTTTTTTCTAGCTTTTTCTCTATAGTGTACATCTATGGGAGGAACAAGCTACCGGTCGATGCCCAGAAGATTCAAATTAATGTGGTGATTGCTTTGGTATTTTCAAAGGTTGAAGTGGGCATAAGTAGAGATGTGCAAGTGAATTTGAATAACAATTTGTCATAGTTTTCGGAAATTAAGTCACATGAAGCTTTTTTTTTTTTTACATTCCTCTCTTAACAGTTCACTCAGTTTTGGTGCATGTACCAGTATGTACATGACAAAAAAAACAACAACCCACAATAATTTTGTCTCATGCATTTCCAATATGTGGCAAGTTGTTTGGTTGTCCTTCAGCTCCAGAGTCGTGGCTGGGTTGCCGCAGATTCAGTTCGGTGCCACCGAGCTCGGATGTGACTTATGAGCAGTTGAAGAAGCTCTTGGCTGGTGGGAAGTCTGTCATTATCGATGTCAGAGAGCCATGGGAGCTCCGAGAATACGGCTCCATCCCCGGCTCAATTAACATCCCCTGTAAGTGTTGATTTCCCATAATTGAAATTATTTGTAACAGAGACGTGGACCATGGATGGTCTTATGAATCCAAGCCACAACGTGGCGCCTGAGGCGAAATTTTATATGGCACCCACTCCCCCTTCCATCGACAATTTAGTGTGCATACGCTTACAAGTGTAGTTGAATTTTTAACACTGCCTCTCATTCATAACATCACACAATTTAACATCTTCAATGGAACATTTTATTTATTGAATGACTGCATCTTAACATATAAAATGGAACACTTTATTTAGTTAATGACTGTATCTCAAATGCGTATATCTAGCCATAAAATCTCTAGCCAGAGGCTGAAGTGCACCGTGTTTGTTACGGAATAAACATGAAGCTCGTGTGTGAAGCACTTAAACGTTCTCTTACTTAATGCTGTCTAGGATAGGGGTCTCCAGATACAACTTTTTTCACTCCCGATACAATACCAACATTGTGCGCTCGGGTACTCTCCGATACGATATCGTCAGATATTATATCAGCAGGAATGATACATGCTTTAATGTATTTTTTTGTATGAAATGTTAGACTTGATTAAGTGGTACTATTCAAACTAAGAGTAATAGTCAGCAACTGTAGGTATGAGAAAATATGACCGATTTATTTAAAACACTTGGGTTGCATAAATTCAACCTCAAACAAGAGCATGGTTGCTTTGATCATGTGGACTCTGCATGCTAGATCCAGACACTGATGGATATAAGAGCAGGAGCGGAGTCCGAAAAGGACTGCGGAGTCGGGAAAAGACTGCTTGTATATGATTGCTAACATCAGAGATTTTTGATGTCGACCGGAAGAATCCGATACTGTTTTGGGGGCTGATATCGGACCGATAGCCACATCAATATCAGATCGGCACACCCCTCGTGTGGGAACCCAAAATGGGCCAGAGGTGTAGCAAATACTGAATATATCATTACCACACAAGTAATGACATTTCTAATGCATGGCTATCAAAATAAATTGTTATTTTCCAAATACAAGGCAAGTCCAACTGGAGATGTTAACTATTTCACTGTACTGGGGTTCCTCAGTTTTTGACAAAGTTCCACTCTGTAGACGGCGATATAGCCCAATTTTGTGCACAAGTCAGAGCGCAACCCAAGTCTATTACAAACCTATGCTAATATATTATCCATCCACTTTTCGATCCGCTTTATCCTCACAAGGGTCGCGGTGGGGTGCTGGAGCCTATCCCAGCCGTCTTCGGGCAGTAGGCGGGGGACACCCTGAACCGGTTGCCAGCCAATCGCAGGGCACATCGAGACGAACCACCATCCACCCTTAGACTCACATCTATGGACAATTTTGAGTGTTCATTCAGCCTTCCATGCATGTTTTTGGAATGTGGGAGGAAACCGGAGTACCCAGAGAAAAACCACGCAGGCCCGGGGAGAACATGCAAACTCCACACAGGGAGGCCAGAGCGGGGATCGAACCCACGATCTCTGCATTGTAAGGTCGACACACTGGGCCACCGGACCACGCTAATGTATTAGTAAAGTCACAATGATAGTAATTACTACTGTGAAAAACACTTCTGGCCCATAAAAATGAAACATCCATCCATCCAGTGTCATCGTCAATGTAAAAACGATAAGTGAGTAACCCAGCATGCCTTCTTGCGCCCCCTCCAGCCATTCAGTTTATTGTGTGCCGTTCGTAACCTCAAAATGTATCGAAGTATGTCAGAGCCATTGGAAATCCACCCCCTGCAATTTTTTACCACTTGTCTGTGGCCCACCCAAAATAGGTTTATCACCTACATTTGGGTTCTCATTCCACCAGTTGCCAAACATTGAGAATAAAATTTGTGTATTCACGTCTTCGCAGTGGGTCAGGTGAACACAGCTCTGCAGCTAGATCCGGAAGAGTTCAATGAGAAGTATGGTGGTGAGATACCCCAGAAGATAGACAACATTGTGTTCACCTGCCTGGCAGGTATCAGGAGCAAGAATGCACTTGACATGGCCTCCGAACTTGGATACAAAGAGTAAGACTCCTTAGTTGTGTTGCACAATTTTGGAAAATCTGGATGTTAATGGAAACTGAGTGTGACTCCTTGGAACCTGAAATTGTTATTAGAACAAGGAGGTTAAATGTTACTGATCTTATCTTGCACCATAATCTCAATTAAAACATTGTAATTATTTCAGGAAGTGTTGATTTTCCCCACCATGCTTGCTTTACTTACATACTACTAACGTATAAAAAAAATACCCAACTCTTATGATTAAAGCAAAGACATTGTAGCTCCTAAATGCATTGCACAGAATTTGACCATTTGATTTAAACTGTCACAACATTGACACACAACAAACACTTGATATTATATTAAAGACACAACGTGGCAGGGAGCAATTGTAGGAGTTTTACGTTAAATGCTCACAGTTCCCATTGTCAACCAGTTGTTCACAAATGCCAACACAATGTTACTAACTGTACTATCTAAAGGGGGAAAAAATGTATTTATAACCCATGACCCCCTCCCCCAACCCCTCATTTCACTACCTCATTCTGTCCCCTATTCCAGTGTTCAGCATTACCCGGGTGGATGGCAAGACTGGGCAAAAAAGGAACACCAAAACTAAAAGTTCAGCAGAAAACTCAAGGTTTTTTTTCCCATTGTTTTCTTTGGCTGACAGTTATCTGTAATTTACATACAGTATGGAATAATAGTGTTCATTAACTTTTTTTCCCCTCTCTTGTTTTATGATTTGGTCACTTTTTTTCCCATCTATGAATCCCAAAACAGATTTATTAGCTAAACACACAGCTTGTTTTCCTAATGATCGCCTTAATAATCAATACAGCAATAATACTTGAAATATTTGTGAATTGAGTGTGATCTCTAATTATTGACAATCCATTTACTACCTGTAACATTTAAGACTGGTGATTATTAATTATTTATATATGATATGCAGAAGATGCCCTTGTTTTATTACCCTGGACTTTAAATAATGCAAGGTATTTAAACAACGGTGCACTGTGCAATGTTAAAATAAAGTGGTGTATTGAATATTGTGAACAATTCTAAATTTCAAGTTGATGTAAATATGTTGTGCTGGAAAATGCTGTGGGTCATATATTTGTAAACCTCTGAATGATTAAAGTTTTGATTTATAAAAGATCTTTCTCTCCTTTCTGTCCCACTACAATATGCTTTTGATAGCTTACTATGTTTTTGATAGCTTGTTTACTGGGAAAAAAACCCCCACTTGTGTTGGCTCAGATGACACACTCTGAAAACTGAGATGAATGTATTTATGATGCACGTTTAATGATCACTACCACCAACCCTTAATGGAATATCAGCAGATTTCTGTATCGCTTGGAAGTGTGAGACCAAGGACCTTTTTTTCTGTTCAATGAAACATATCCGCAAGCGCAAAGTCAATGGATAGAAAAATCATTTACTGTTGTTCAGTTTTATAATGAATTGAATTAATTCCCAGCAAATGTCAACATAGATTATGCCAATGTTAAATGAAAGAGTCTGATCTTTCTACATGCATCAGCAAAGAATTTCATTGGTTTTCAGTGTCCACCCCCCCCTTTTTATGATTTTTTTTTTCTAAATCACCAAACGTTGTTGGCTGCTATTTTTTTATTTTTAATTATATATATTTTTATTACCTCAAGACAATTCTTGACACTCGGGGCCGGATTTACTGAAGGACTGCATGGTGCTCACAGGTAAAAATTGAGCTAATGAAAGCGTCTAATCCATACAACACCCGCAGATGCTGAAATGCGTCACTAAATGAGACACCAAGCAGAATGTGTCTCGGTCCTCCGGTGGTATTATTTAAATTAGGTTATATGCATGCAGTATATTTGGCAAAGAAATTGTCCACCTCTATGCAAATGATCTTCATTGATAAACAACATCTAATTCACGAACGCCAGTGTTGAAAGTGAAAGTCACACGCAGTTTGAGTGACGCAAATAAACTTAACACTTGCCCGTGGAAGCATCTTTTTTTTTTTTTTTTTTTGAGGGGACACATTACAGCCTGCAACATCTGAGCAATGTGAGTTAACGCTTGACATGTACAAAGTACAAGAGGCCCTAAATTAGCTGTTTGGGTTAGTATGTCATCAGCGCAATATCCTTTGTGAATAGAATGTTAAGACGGAGCAATGTGCAGATGAAATGCAATGCAAAGGAAATAAAATTAAAGATGCTATCAGCGGCCTCAGTTCATTCTTTGTGGATTCGGCCCACAGTTTGGGGGGCACAAACAACGTCTACAGAAATCTGGTGTAAAATTGTCACTTGAAGCATCTATTAGCGAGGGGAAGCATTGACAGAGCAATGTGAAGTGATCATTTCGTGCCCAAAGATTGCAATTCATTCTTTATGGATTTGGCCCTCAGTGTCTTAGTGTATAATGTATGCTGTCTTGCTCACACTCGGATAATGTTAATGAATGCTACATGATCTCCTGTATGATTACCTGCACTTGTTCTTGAAATTGTTGCTGTCTACTGCTTTAAATGGACTGCTCTCACCGAGGTTTCAAAGGGAGATGGAAAAGACTCTGGCTGATTCCAGTTTGATGCTGCTCTAAGATCTGAAGTGAAGTGGCCGTTCCCCCCAAAACTATTGGATGAGGAAGACCAATACATTTATTTCTGCTGTAGCTTGAAATCATTTGGGTTTGAAATAGAGGTGGACAATTTCTCTGCCAAGGATTTATCTGAGACAAGCTTGACATTTTTATTATGGATAGACAAATGAAGCTTCATGAAGCACTTGTGATGATGTTTGATTCCTCTAGATGGCACTCTTGGATTAAAGATGCAGTGGAAATGCCATACATTTCCATTGCACTAGCCATTATCTTTAATCCATCTAGAGAAGTAAAAATCACCATCACTAGTTTTTCTTTCCAGGTATCTGAGTCTGATGCATAGTTTAAAAGTGTTTAAGCGTGTTTTATTGCCAGATTGATCAGACAAACAATAAGTAGTACTAACTCTCTGCTTAGTTTTACACCTTGATTTTTCCTTTGATGAATGCATTTACAGTGGACAAGGTGGGGTTTGGCAACAAGGAAACACTGAGAGTTGTTTATAGATGAAAATAAACAACTAGGAAGCTGAGAAGATGGAAAGTCAATCATATGATACACTGTAGCTATATAACACAAATATTGTACTTAGTCAGTACACCCACAGCCACAGTGTCATGAATGTCCTGTAGAGCAAAACAATAAAAACACACTCAGTAACATACAACAAATGGGTAAGAAAAAAAGAGCAGCAGTTGATTCCGAATTTGAGAGCTCTGAAGAAGGCCTCACATCAACCTGTCTGCAGAAATAACGTCAAGGGGGCAAGAGTGAAGGTATATCACAATGTATTGTTTTGAGACAGATTGGAAACAAAAGCACACAGTTTCACCAAGAGATGCAAACCACTCCGAATGCCAAGGTCAAGCTGGAATTCACCCAAAAAGTACTGAGAAGGGCCAAAGTGTCAATGGGAAGATGAGCGTGAATGCCAAAAACTTTAAGGCCAAAAGGATCTGATTATCCCAAACAAGTGTAGTAATATAGCTGTTGCTTTGTTAGGTTGAGCGCGAACCTACTGGCATTGGTCAAATTCAGATATACCGTATTTTCTGCACTAAAAGGTGCATCTAAAAGCCTCCCATTTTCTTAAAAGCTCACAGCGCACCTTAAAATCCGATGCACCTTGTGTATGGTCATTATGGTAATATGTCAACCCCAAAATGGTTCCTTGCGAGAGACATGCTTACAACACATAGTTCAAACTTAAGACGATCGGTTTCGCAGTTGAACACGGAAATAGAGCAGCAGCAAGAGAGTTCAACGTTAATGAGTCAATGTTATAACTTGCTGTTGGTTAAGTGAACTGTGTCGCTGCTTTATTAAATACGTTTTACTGACATCTGATCGCCGCTATATAAATCAGGGTGTAGTGTAGTTTAGTGCTCTGTTGGCATTTCCTTGAACGTAGCTCCATCTAATGGATGCATTGTAGATTGAGTCTTATAATGTGGTGCGTACAACATATGAAAAAAATTACAAAATAGGCTATTCATTGAAGGTGCGTCTCATAATCCAGTGCGCCTTTTAGTGTGGAAAATACGGTATCCATTTTTGGAGGCCACTGTTTTCTATGATATTTTCACCCTAATCCTGAGACAACTAATTGTTTTATGCTAAGGATGGCTAAAAGGACTGCGTGCTGTATAATGGTTGATCAAGTAATGCTTTAGGTAACAATAGATAATCCCCGTTAGCAGGCTTGACCACTATTTTCTCCCCTCATATCACTGTGCTATGTCAACTGTAAAATTCAGACTGCACTCACCCACCCCCATCTTCTGCATCCTTATTTCCCCTCAGTAATAGTTAATTCCATTTTCTTTTTCCTGCATTTCTGCAAACTCTTGATTTTAATGTGCCAAAAACAGACCAGACTAATAAGTACTAATTTGTGTCAAATCTTGCCAGGGTTCTTTGTCCCTCCACTGCCCTCATCAGGTCACCCTCCAGCTTCTGCTTGGCATTCAATTAAAGTCCCTCGTCCCATCAGAGCAGATTACATCAGTTTTGCATCTATACTCCCTGCTATGACTTTCCGAGGCCTGATCATAATTTCTGGCTAATGCCCAGCGCCGTTGTGTCAACCTTAGAAGTAGTGTGGATCTGGTGAAACCTTCGTGTTGATGTTGAAGGATGGCTTATTCAATTCATAGATGTCCCAGCAAGCTATAGAGAACTTGGTTACTAATGGTGTTACAACATCCCCTCTATTTTTGCAACCAGCTTCAGTGACAAGTGATACCAATTCCTCGAGTTTTGCTGTGGGATTTGAGATCAAGGTATGATGAAAAGACTTCAGCTTTTATGTTCAGGCATTATTGTAATCTCAGCTGACTTTGAGATATATAAGATGCGTGATACACCTTGGACTGGTTGCCAGCCAATCCCAGGGTGCTTTTAGGCACACGATTATTCACATTCACGTTCACAGCCTCTTTATTGAAGAATTGCACATTAATTCTGTCTGCCAAATTCTTGCTTGTTGGGAAGTGAGTCAAGGTCTCTGTTACCATACAGTGCAGGTAAATCAAATGTGCACTCGCAAATCAAGGTCAGAAAAATTCACCGAATGACAGCTCGCATCTCAAAAAAACATTTATATTTCCAATAGTGATGGACAAATGTAGCTTCATGAAGCACTTGTGATCATTTTTGACTCCTCTAGATAGCACTCTTGGTTTAAAGATGTAGTGGGAATGTAGTAAATTTCCAATGCACCTGTCTTTATCTTTAACCTAAGAGCACTGTCTCGAAGAGTAAAAATCAGTAAAAATCATAATGATGCTTCATTTTCCCACCAATCAATCATTGTACAAAGAAGGTTAAAAGAAACGAGGAGGAACGAAAAAGGAAAGTTTCGAAAAGTCAATAAATGAATAAGTTTTGAAAAAAAAAAAAAAATATATATATATATATGGCTCAAAAAGAAAACCAAGATTTTGGGTCTAGCAAATGTAAAACAAAACAATGTTCACTCTTACATTTCAGATTTTTGAGTACTGAGTTTCTTGTTTTTAGTTTGGTTAAGGTGTCACATGACTTAATCTCAATACTGCTGTTCTTCCATAGGCTTCCAGCTTTGGATGAAATACGGTAGTTGTGCTGACGGCTGGTAGGTAACATTTTTTTGGGGGGGGGGGGCTTTTTTCTGCATGTTTTGGAGAATTTTATGGCAACTTTGATCATGGAATTTGAGTATCTGCAAACTGATGCAAAATCATGGCAACAAAGCTAAAAAAAAATTATAAGTTGGGCAATTCAATAAAAGTACTTTAAGTTTTCCAAATGTGAAAATTGTCTTTCTTGCAACAAAGAAATTAGAGTTTACAGAACCAATTGCCCCTTATACTCTCCCTCAACTCCAAGTAAAAACAACTCAGCAAATTTGTTTGGAGCAAACGACTTGCATGCTTTGTTATGTAAACTAACACTGTCACCAGAAATATCAATACTTGATATTTTAAAGTTGTTCCAATTTAAATGTCTGTTTTAACCCCCCAAAATATAAGTTGTGTATGTTTGTTTGCTCCAAAACAATTTGCTGAGTTG